ACTCCTAAATTCAAAACTGACAGGCCTGGCTAATCAATAATAGAAACTCATAGCAGATGCATTCAATTAGGCATTTCTGCTCAGATTACTTCACAGAGGATTTCACATAATAGCTCTTACATTACTTTAATAAAATCCAGAGATTTCTCTTGATTTGGCTATTACAGACATCAATCAATCCGCTGTTGCTACTGCTATATCAGCACTCAACTTTCACCACACCATAATAAGAAATTCCACATTGTTATTGTTTTTTTCTAAAGAACATAATCCAATTCCCCAAATTTCCCCCATTCTGTGATGTAAAATTTCCTTCACTCCCTCAGTGAATCTTCTCTTTTTGGCATTTGTGTTTTGCATTTAGTTTGAGAAGAACATAATGTCTTCATAAAACAAATCCTTGTAGCTGTGTCGGGCTCTCTGACTAAGCAGTGGCAATTTGTAATCCACACATGTAAAGCAAAGTATTTATCCTTTTGTTTTTATCTCAGGCCACCAATCTGCCCATTTTCAAATATGTTAATGGATCCCAAGTGTACACAGCTCTTCAGGAGATGCATTGAAAAAAGGGTTATCATTATTGCCAGATACAGGGTAAGGACCAGAGATGGCACAAGGTTAAGGTTTGGAGTCAGGAGTAGAGATGGCATTGTGTACAGAGACGTACAATTTAAATTCTCCATGAGCTTAAGATACTACTGCAGATTTTTCAAGTTGTGAAATCTAAAGCATAAGTTTGAATTGCACAGATTGTTCTTTTTTTCACCTGCAATTTTCTGTCATACTGTTTTCTGCTTTATCCGTGGCCATATATTCTATATGTACAGTATGTTTAATGTGCTTCAACGTCCTGCTTCAACACTGTATGTTTTTTTCTGGGCTCCCTAACTGTAGAAAAACAAAAATGGTAGGTTTGTTAAAAACCCCTTCAACATTGACAAGAAAATACGGTGGGGGGTACATTACCCCAAAGCCCAGTGATTAAGACAAATAAAACCTGTGCAACACTGATGTGTACTTCTGTTTCAGTTATTTTTATTATATGACAAGTAGTTTGGAATCACCACATTTTTCATTGTAATTAACATTAATGTCCCATACCTGTTGGGAAGGACTAAAACACGTGGACTTGCTTATTTTTTACCCCCACTTGAAGAATTATTCATTCATACATGCGGCAAAGTCCACAGTGCCTGACAGGAGAGTTACCACCATATTCAATGAGCAATTAGTTCACTAAGCAGTGCCTCTCTAATTGACTTTACTGCCAGAAAGCTCGACTGATTAATCCCATCCCAGTGTTTTGCCAGATGTGCACTGTTGCTTGGGAAATCAAATCCCTACCGGATAATTATATGACATAAACTTAAACTTGCATTGTCTTGCATAGAACGTAACCTGCTCTCCAAGCAGATGTCCTTGAGCCAGGAGCCCCACCTTGGGCATTCTTTAAATACCTAAATACTGATCACCTGGTCAGAATATAGTATCTGAAGAGCAGGTAAAACAATTAATCCATCGTCATTAGTACTGTAATATAGGGCATTCGATGTGTGCTGTTGAAGTTCAAGTACAAGGAGAGGGGGAAGCTGGGGAAATAAGTGAGTTTCTCCCCCGGGCTTGAAGGAGAAACGTTTCCCAAAGAAAGCTGTTTGTTTCCATGCGTTCGGGAAGGGTAGGAAATATAACGTTCCAGAAATAGAGGAGGTGCGAGCCATCTTGATGGGAATTTCCTTTCTCACTGTCCAACAGTTGGCTGATGTTTATTTAAAAAGCCACAGGCGACTCAGACAGTCTGACAGCGACCCCTGAAAGCAGCTTTCTTCGACACAGTCTTATGCTCTACAGTATCTTCAGAAAGCTACCACAGAGCCTTTGAAATAAGAGGTCTGAATTTCCCGCTGTGATTATAGCTATGACATGTTCAGTGGAAAGCTGTGTTCTTCTGCACAGTCTTTGTTCCCAAATGTCTAACGGGGTGTCTTCTGTTGTTTCTCTCCATTGTTTCTCAAAAATGCTCAAAAACATTCATGTTTTTCAAGCAGCAGAAGGAATTTCAGCACTGCTGTGGTCTACAAGTTTCTACAGATTTTCTATTTGAAAAAGGCTGAATTGTTCCACTGTCCATATACTGATGTTGGACTTCAACTCTGGGAAAGAGACAGCAGTCAGGCAGAACAGAGACAGTCATAGGCCTGCTGGTGCTACACGGGAAGAAAGGTAATGCCCCCCAAAATAATCAGCATCTGATCGTACTGAAGAACAAGAGTCCAAGTCCTATTTGTTCTTAACAATTGGGTTCTGCTCAACTTTGACAACTTGGACATAGGTTGAAGAGGATGGACAGTACAACAGACTGCTCCTGGAGGAGACCAGTTCTGGTCAATTAAAACCCACTGGAAAATCCAACACACCTGCAGATGTGATCAAATTGACCAAGGAATGTAGGAGGAGTGGATGGCAGCCTTTGAAGAAGGAACTCTCACCTCTATATTCAGGGTTGTGGGACAAGTGTGTATCATCTGAATGAAAAACTACAAGTTTACATCCCCCAACAGGCTTCCATGTAATAATCATCTTCATGCTGAGGATACTGACAGAAATATATTCCCTGGACAACTGGATATCCAACTAGCTTCTGCATCAGAGACATGGTCATTCACCTGTGCAACATCATGGCTGTGAGGAAGCAGGAGACATGACAATCCCTGTATATGCATACGACCTGTATTTGTGGTGCAGAGTGCTAAGTGCTGGACCCACTGCAACCAAGTTCTGCAGCTGCTCATATACTGTACCCACTGTGCCAGGTCATTCATCAGCTGTTTGTAGCTGGTTTCCACAATACAGTGATACTCTCTTCACGTACACCATTTTCAGGCTCTACTATAAGAGAGAACAAAGACCTTTGTCCCAATTGTCATCGTTCTGCTAGAATTTTCTCAACAAGATTATTTGAAGTAGAAATCCAGATGCACGAGTTTCAAAGTCACTGTGATCTTAAAGCAGCCCAACTACAGTCTTCAGGAGAAAGCCTTCAAAATGTCAGGAATTGCCTCATCTTGCAGATGTACTATCTATTAGACTACATTCATATATAGTACCTTTTTCCAAAGCTCCTTTTTCAGAGCTCTCCCTGATGGCCATCATTCAGCTAAAAGCATTCCTGAAGGAATGCAAAGTAGTCAATTTCTGAAAACACATACATATAGCAATTGCTCAAGAAAATTGTTGGAAATCTTTTCCACATTAAGAGTCGGAAACAGTCAGCCATGTTTGGATTTTGGAGCTTCTTCCATTTCTGAGAATGGGAGCCCCCACATGCTACAATTCCTGGAAGAAAAAGAGAGCAAATGCAACTGGAGATCCCTGTGGAAGAGATGATGGGAGGCTCGCGTATCCCTGTGACTGGACAAGAAAAAGACGGAGGATCTCTTTGGATCGAACAGAGCTTGAGACAGACTATAAAATAAGGGGAAGGAATGACAAGGAAGACTCTTTTGGGAAAGATGTTGTCCTTCAAAGTATCTGAGGTCTCCTTATCTCAAACTGTGGAATATCCCTACCCAACGGACGACACCTTCTTCCTTGACACCTAGCCCACAGCAGATTTCTGTCACAGAGAACAGGAGAGCCTTCTTACACTGCAATCACATTTGTGTACAGAAAACCACAGGGCTTATAGACGTGTGTGCAGCTTTGTGAATTAAGAATTCTTAATTGTTCATTTCTTGCTTGTGGTCATTTATACAGTATGTGCAGTTTGCAGAACACTAAAATCAAGTAGGTAAAAAAGAAAAATCAAAGCCCAAGATTTATTGCTGAGATAATAGATATTACTGCATCACTGAGAACACTGTTTCTCAAAATCAGTGGCTGATGCTTAAAAAATGCTATGTTCCAAACTTGAGGTTTTTCCCTGATCAGTTGTCTCATTAATTTTACAATTTCCTGTGGTCTCGTAATAATCGAATACTGGAAATTGGTCTAATTGGTTGTTTGTCCTCAGCAAAACATTTTTCTGTTTCTAACAGTTACATGGTCTGTTGGTGCTTTGCTTCCGCCTTTAATGAGCTCCAGGTGTGATATCACTTGCAGTGATATTTTTATAAAGATTTAAGCGTGTGACTTTATTGTACCCACAGGGGTTTTTAAGTGTAGGTAATGAAACTGTGACTTAGCGTTGATGTGAACACAACTCAGTGTGACAGTAATTACGGAGATTAATAATGAAGTCTTAATGGCTAGGCTGATGTGAATATGTTCCCATAGCTTTAAATACATCAACTAATGCAAGCACCAAAGCCTTTGATTTATCAAGGAGCCTTCAGCGAGTGGAAATTTGCACCATATTGCCTGAATGGGCAAAGCAAATACTTGATTAGAAACATTTTGATACAAACAGCTTGTGTGTTGCATTCTGAACTCTGAAAGAGTGCTGAAGGTCAGAGTCTGCATTAAATGGCTTGATTACCTCACTACAAACGAATTACTCTAATTACATTTTGACTTGAATACTATAAAAACTCTTACCCTAAACCTTGCTTTCATGTGGATTGGGATTTGTTTTACCTCAATCAAATGGAAATGTTCAAAACGCCTCCATATTCCTTGACAATTCTGACTCTAACACTAGCTTGTAGGGTAGTGAAGGATTCTCGTCTCATCTCATTTTAGGCAGGTTTTGCGATATTTAATCAATTTAAAATGCTTCTAGACCCATAGTTCGTCAAAGTTACTTGGAGATGCAATCATCTCAAACAGCACAGGTTATGGGAGCCCATGGAAAGGTGCAACTGGTTGGAGTGAATAAGAAGGAAAAGGTTTGATTCTTGAAAAGCTTGCTTTCTCATGCAGTGAGAAACTATCTGGGTCAGGAGGAGACACGACAGGAGACAAACATTCTACTGCAGAGCAAGACTGTCACGCAGGACAGCTAGTCAAACTGGCTGACTGACTGATGAGGAGAAATAATGACTATCTCTTCCTTTCTCCTCAAGGTCAAGTGACTGGATATTCTATGACTCCACCTACCATTGACAGCCTAAAAGAAGACCTTGTTATCGACGCCAATGACACATTGACCATTACATGCAGGTAAATGATTTCCTATCTGAATGCCTTGTTTATACAAGATATGAAATGCAGGGGGAAACTATGTGGCTGGGCAATTTTTTATTTGACAAGTCTCCAAGTTCACTTATGCATATAGCGCTGTCCAAATGTTGACTTTTTGCATTCTTTTTTGCATTATTGTAACATGTTTTTAAAGATTCTGATCAATGTGAATTCAGGATTGCTAAATAACCAGTTTGGTTTATTCTCACTCAAACTAAGCTGTATTAATATGATTCAAAATCTTTATCATAGAAGAAAACACTTGTGGAGGTTTTGTTGAGGCCCATACATTATACATATATAGTAACTCCCCATTGTCAAAAACATTTGCACAGCAATGTGTTCGTAGTGTAACATCTCCCACTGACAATGTGCCAACCAACAGCGACCATAGTGAGAGATGTGCCACTTCTCCAGCTGGCACCGAATCTCCAGCAAGGCCCTGTGGAGTTCACAGTGTGTGAAATTGCAAGTGGCACTACCTGCCCGGTGTGGGTGTGAAAGGAGCATGTCTGCAGCTTCTCGCTTCCTGTGGAACTACAGGAATTGTTGCTGTAAACCTAACTCATAAACAACTGGCCATCCCCCAATGGGAGAGTAACAAAATAAAAACAAAATGACTTGCACTTCCAAATTCAATATTGTATCAATGTCAAATAAGTGTAGTTTAGCAGACATCCTCTATTACAGAAAGAGCAGAATCTGGTCGACGTTTCTTGCTATGGAGACTTCAATATGGATATCATTTATTTGTTTCATTTCAAAATGTTGAATGGCCTTTATGTGCATAGAGAAAATATGTCCTGGTACAGGAGTTTCACAAAATGCAATTTCTCTATTATGCACACACAATAAATCCACATTTGTGTATTAAACCTTCGAAACATCACCAATCCCCTTATTACTCTTACCCTAAGTAGATTATGCTGCTTTTTCATTTTGAATATAGTACCAAATATTAGCTAGTACCAGATATTCACTCATAGACAGCGTGTTCAGGCCTCCCTATTCAGCCATTGTTTTTAATTAAGGGGAAGCAAAATAAAAATGGAGACAAGGAGATGCAAAACCAGAAAACTGATCTTTCTGAAGGAGTGTGTGTATTCAGGCTAACATCCCTAAATTTCTAAAATAGTTTTTAAAGGATACTTATATTCCAAAGCCATGTTGATCACTACATCTTGGGCACTAGGGGTGAAGTGTTTCATAACACGTGTGTTATGAAAATGAAGTATTACCAGCTTAATTTGTCTCAGATTGCAGAAACCTCCCTTCTGTTGTCCCTCTTGCCAAGAATCCTGAAGCCAATCTGTCTTTTGCAGTAGCGGCAATATGCTTTTTGGAAGAGTAATAATATTCTTGGCAGTTCTACTTTGGAGTTGTTCATAAAACAAAATGTTTTGTATTTAAATATGTTTCATATTTAGGGTAGCTTTGAAGGTCAATACTTTATTTCAGAGGACGTTTCTTGTGTTCCCAGCAAACTGCATTGGGTAGAATTGATTTGTAAAACTCAAACAGTGCTTACACATATCTGATCAGTTTTGACAATAGCCAACTCAGTTGCTATTTGGAAGATTTAGAATGTAATCTATTACAGTATAAAATGCTATTGTATTGTATTGCATTGCTAGTGTACAGTATATTTGCAGATGACACTGACCCTTCTTCTATCACTGTCCAGGGGACAGCACACTCTGGACTGGGCCTGGCCTGAGAAGAGCCTCAGAAAACAGGAAGTGAAAGATCGCCAGGACCAGCTATATCCCACTGTGCTTCCAGGTCACCGAGCAGTCTGGGTCAAGGAGTGCCAGGGGGAGCCTGGAAAACCGTACTGCAAAACGCTCGTGCTGACCAGAGCCTGCGGCAATGATACCGGCTACTACCGCTGTTTCTATAAGGACGTTAAGGCCGCCATCGATGGTGCCACTGCAGCCAGCATTTACGCATTTGTTAAAGGTCAGTCTCTGCCATACAAGCCCAGGCGCAAGATATAAGGGGTAGATTGATCAGATGTGCAATACGTCTCAGAAAGAAAACTCTGTTTTACACCACAATTCTGCCCCACAAAACACATCAGAGCAGTTAATGGAGTGGGTTTTAAATTTTCCTGTTGTATGATAGTTTAAAAATTCGAATTATTTGGAAGTACAAATTTTGCACTGGAACAAAGACTTTTCTAAGTCGTCTTGGATATTGTGACAATGTTACAATTCCTCACTACTAGTGACAGAACTTTGTAACTCAAACCTCTGATCCTGTAAGTTCACTTATTGCAGGAACGTGACACACAATCAATTACTAAGCCTTGATTCTGCTGTGAAGAATCTAAGAATCACATAGCTCTGATTTTTTAAACTAGTTTTACATTTTACAAAAGCAGAACAAAATAACACAACAGTATAACATGACAGCTCTCCTTCTCCAGTCATTTCATTAGAAAAACGGATTATTTCCATTTTACACTTGGTCTTGTAGTGTAGTGCTTTCAGTCACTTTACTGTATTGTGGGTGCTGGCCAAGAGTTCACAAATACGAATGTCATGTTCAAAGAAGAAAAAAATTTATAACAAAGAAAATCCCTTTCTGTTTCTATTCATTCACGGCAATTAAAAATAATATAGCCCATTGCACCCTGTTGCTAAGGAGATTGAATAACCTACAACAGGAAGACAATGTATAAGATATTAATTTAATAGTACATTCAAGCATGGTGCAGAATTTCTCAGGCTCTTCTGTTATGGTTTCATGCCATGACTAAAGCAGTTGTGTTTCGTCTGTTAGCTTTCTGAAGTTCGTTCTTCTACTGGCATCTCATGCAAGTGACATTTCTCACCTCTAGTCTTAGCCTTCCTTATTTAAAACCACCAAATAAAGCGATTAGAGGAATGCACTTCCAGGAATGAAATGGCGGAAGAGTTCTGCAGAACCTGGGGTTGAAGAGATTGTGAGAAAGCGTACCACAGCCCAGGGGAGATAGGATCACATCTCACCTCGAAAGTTGCATTACTGTTTCGTCCAAAGTTAACAAAACTCTATACTGAAACTAATTCAATTTATTAGTGTCAACGCTAACATTTCAGATCCGGCACAGCAGTCCCATTACCTCATCTGAACTAAGCAGGCCCCCAGAACAATCTGAAGCCCATAGTATTCCAGACACTTTCTACAGACAGCCAGTGAAGATGTTGAGAGCAGTTACCAGTTGACACATAATTTCTGTCGTAAATCATACATTAGGGCTATGCGTCTATTTTTCCTTCCAGTTCAATCAACGCACTGATTTAGATTTAAAAAAGAAACAACATGTCAAATTTGGAAAGAAAGGCATTTTAAAGCATTCAATGTTTCTGAGTCAACACTTGGTGTGTTGTCATTCTGCACTGCTCTATGATTCATTTTAGAAACCTTTTTTACAGTGTGTAGGGGTAAGGTTAGCAAACACAATTAAAGCATGATAATATCAAGTCAAAACTCAGATTATGGCATGGTAAAGCAACCTAAATAAAAGGGAATGTTTCCTTATTCAAGCAAACGCCTTGAAGCATGGTTGCATCACAGATTAGTGCTTTACAGTTATATTTGCTTAGAACAGCATTGATTTGGATAAAGAAGACCATTCCGAGTTCCTAAATTTTTAAACCTTTTATAGGAATTGAACACTGGGCCCCTGTGCTGTGAGGCAGCAATATCACCATGCCACCCATAAATATAATACATGTTGAAGATAAAAATATCCAACAGAGCTAAGATGAGGGCACCACTGTTTTGCTTTGAGTACTGTAGGTTGCATTAAATTCCGTTATGTGTGCCATGGGATTCTACAAAGGTTTAAGGATGGACCGAACTGTGAAAGAGAAGGGATCTCTCTCTGTGGTCAAGAGGCTGACCTTTGGGACTGAAAACATCTGCATTTGAGGTTTCAATTAGCAATGTGCCAGAGGGCTGCAGCTTCTGAATGACAGCCACCACTCTCTGAGTCCAGAGCACACTGCACAGCAGTCCACTTTCTTGTTTTCACAGGCATCCCAGTAAAAGTATGCAAAGGAAAAGCTAATATTTTCCTTTTGGCAGTTTAGCTTTTTTTTTTTACTGCACGTCTTTATTTATTTTTGGTTTGTTTGTAAAATATTTGTATAGGCCATTACAATGAATTTCTTTTTTTAATCAGACAGAATACAGAAAAACACACTTGATCATTGCTTTCATTTACCCTGACGTACCACAAAAATCTATTTTGTTGACAGGCGAGAATGATTTGCTTATCATTTATTTGATTTTTACTAACACATTTTCATTAACACATTCACTTTACTTTCAGCACAAGCATATAGCAATTAAAAAACCCACTGCAAAATCAAAACTAAAGACAAGATTTCCTCTGTCTTTTATTTGGATTTTATTTAAAAAATGTCCCTATGCACTACAAAGGAGATAACTATTCACAGATTACTAGGATTCTAGGAATTAAAGCCATGTTTTGCACCATCCATTACCAGAAAGCCCCTTCTTCCTGGAGAGGGTCTTAGTGTCTTGGGCTAATGGCCTTTAAACAACAATGCCTGCTGTGCTGCAGATCAAACTACGACTGAGCATGGCTGCTCTCTCTGATGTGCTAATTTGCAACGACATCACCTGGAGTTTGGGGCCAGTTACCACTATGCATCTTATGGAGGTCAAATACATTTTCACTTAGCCCCTGGAGTGGCTCAGAACCTCTAAGGCCAGCTCAGGTCACGCACTGTCAGTGGGACAGAAACTCAATATTTGGTTTTCAGGAAAACAGAAAGCGTGCTTCTGTTTGTGGGGTTTTACAATGTTCTTTAATACTCAGCGCCAGAGCATCTCCTCTTCCATCTTGCACAGTCCTGAGGTATAGTCTCTTTCAAAGAGCTTGCTTCTTAATGCAAAAAGGGGTATGAGTTCATAGTAATTAAAGGTATTAGGTGCCAAAGAGTTCACCTTTACTTCTTTATTTCTGCTGGTTTCCTTTCGTCCTCAAAATAATGAAAAAACGTGATGTTGATTATGCGAGCTCACTTCAGATTATTTTCAGATGGATGGAAAAATGTGCTGGTTCCTGCGAACACACACCAGACGGAACTGGCCAAATTAAATTCAATTCAACTTTGTCATTAAACTTACACGGGTGCATAGTATAATGAAAAGTGTTTCTCATTAGTCACTCAGGTGCAGTATATAAATAGGACAGAAGATAAGACAATAGACAGTAACACAATAGCAATAACAGAAACATGTAATAACATAACATGAATAACATGTAATCACGTAATTACATGTTTGTGATAAACACTGCAATAGCAGATATTCCGAGGGATGTGACTGAGGTGACAATTGTGTCTGTTTTGCTGGTTTCACTTTGTTTTGAGCAACAGTACATCCAGGGAAATTACGGTTTTAGTCTTTTTCTGCATTCAGCACACCTAGTCTCACTGTCCGTGTTGACTGTTACCATGTGCCTGCTGGGGTCATTATGACCACTGTCTCTCTTTGCTGCGAGACCCCTCTTTATTAAGCTTGCTGTTCACGGTTCACATTGAGTTCAGACAGCAGCAAAGCTCTAATTCGGACCCCAAAGCCTTTTTTGCCTGTGGGTGAGGTCAGCAAGCAGAGACATTAAGTAGGAGACTGGTTCTATGAAATCTGTCCCCCACTAATTTCCCCTGACAAGGTGCCAAAACAGTTTCCACAGATCTTACCAGGGGGGTGATAAGAAACAGCTGAAATCACAACTGTAAAAGAAGGATGAACGTATCTGCAATGCCCAGCAACTTGATCGGATGGGATCACATGTGGTTTTAGTTAGGAGGCCTGACTTATCTTAGGGAACCCCTTTCAAAGTTGGCTGTTTTACCATATAAAGTACGACTGAACCAGCCACTTAGGAGTCACCTTAGTTTGGAATCAACTTCCAGCTTTCCCTTGACCTTCTACTGGATAAAGTGGATAGAGAAATTGATAAATATTATCTGTTCTGTACCAGATATCACTTATGGTATCATTCCTGCATTTCCAAACAGTCTGCTGGTGTGACCGGCTGGGACCGTCTATCAAGTGTGCGTTTGCCCAGAGAAATCTGAGTCCACCCCAGGTCAGAGAGTGTCTATTCTTTTCTTCTCGCTCGCAGATGAGACCCAGCCCTTCGTTAAAGGAAACAGCGATGCAGTCGAAGCTGTTTTCATCTCCTCGTTGTCGACTCATGTCGAGGTACCGTGCCGGGTGACAGTGCCGGACGTGGAAGTCAAAGTTGGTCTGGTGAGTACCCCTCGTCGCATTACAAGTGCTCTGCCAGCAACCCCCCAGCCTGAAAAATAAAATAAGATGAAAATCATCACTTATTGTCTGTTTTCCCTCCACATTATCCATTTAAAGCAGAATTCTGAATGATATATTAAAATTCATATTTCTCATGAGCACACTACTGAAAACTTGAACTTGATTGTAGCACTTTTTCAACAACATGCCCTGTAATTGCAATAATACCTGAGTTTGTTTGTGAACTGACTTGCAGTAACTGTTGTTTCCTTTATGCACCTTGTACTTTGGGACGTTTCTGTATTGCTGTTCATCGCCATGGCCGCTGCTCACAGCGTGTCCTTTCAGTTTGACGCAGGGGTAGGTGTCCCTCTGGACGAGAAGCAGCTGATCTGGAACAACAAGAAAGGCATGTCCATCCCCACCCAGCTAATTGTCACAAGGACCACGCTCCTCGGCCTTTACTGCCAAACCTTCCTCAACAACGTGGAATACAGGTCCCCTGTCTTCCTCACGCACTTTACAGGTACCAAGACCTTCCTCTCACTCCCCACACCTAAATGGCAATGGTAAAAAACCACAATGGCACAATAACTACCTCAGCTGCCTCTACTGAACTGCAGAGCTTAGGTTTCTTCTTACAAAAAGATGCAAGAAAAAAGATCAGACATAAATACATTGTCTTCTGATACAGTTCTTTTAATTTAAAGTTTGGCCAAGTCATGCTCGAATGCACTAAATGACTGTGCCAAGACCCAAAAGTCACTATTTAAGGATGTTGCGAATGACAAGTACTTGCATTTTTATCCCAGTGAGGTCGGAATATTGAAGGCTAGAAATAAAATCTAGGATGTTAGGAGCTAGAGAAAGTGGTGGGCCAAATTATCAGCTACAGTGTGTTTCTTGATTAATAACATGATGGCATTACACTAATATTTGTAAGATAAATATTAATATACAGTACTATTAACATACATAGTATACAAAGTAAAGTACACACTTTTTAGGCTATAGCAAATAAACTGATACAAAGGGCAGTCTTATTTTCCTTGTAACCATTTGAGATCTCCTAGTCAAATGCTTACTGTATTTACCATGGCAACACCACATTTTTCCTGGTAACTTAGTGGAAAACCGAGTTGGAGTGCAAAAGAAAGAAACTGATTAAAATTAAATACATCAGAATTAACAGTTTTTTTAATTAATGAATGCACTTGTTAAGAAAGCTACTGTATACCTTTAACGCAGTTCTTCTACCGCAGTCTCCTTTCAATACTGCCACCAGTGGTTTTCTTTCTCGAACTGTCGCTGCTGTAAATTTAGGCGAGTGAGTCAAGGACGTTTGCTCATTGGAGTCTGCCAAACCACCTCTGTATCTAGTAATCCTGACTTCCACTATGAATTAAATAAATAAAAACCATTTCAAAAACAATTCACTTCCCTCACTTCACAAACAGCACGACAGCTAGCGGAAGCCTTTTTAATGTGTAGTCTGTATTGTCCCTTTTGAAACATTCGGCTTGGAACTTTGCTTTCCAATAGGACTTGAAAGAAGCAATACATGTATACAAGTTCTAGAAAATATAAGGCAGCTACATTCATCTTGCGTCACGTTATAAAGTCAAGCACATTACAAGTTTTTCCTTGAACGCAGAGACCATTATGCAGGGGGTCACTGTTCCTAATGTTCAGGAAGCCAAAATCACAACGCTGCCCGCCAGTTGTTCAAACAACAATGAAAAATGTAACTTATTTTCTTCAGACTTTGTTTCTAACAACAGATAATTGGGAAAAGTAGTTAAATAATTCTTTGCTAAGCAGGATCCTTTTGTTTCAGCAGTGCCGGAGAATTAGGTCGTTTACGGTGAGGAACAACTGTAGCAAGACAGGCAGCGACACCAGAAGACTGTGTCCTACCCGCTGTCTGAATCCTGTTCTTCCCCCAACAGGCACCATAGTTTACGATTTCAAGCTGTATCCCGAGGAGTCGGTGGAGCTGATGATGGGGGAGACGCTAGTCCTGAACTGCACGGCGTTTGTGGAGTTTGACACCGCGGTGCATTTCAATTGGACCTACCCGGGCAAAAAGGTAGAGGGCTAATTAAAATCAAGCCGAGACCGGCGAATGGTGCATTCAGCGAAGGAGCAGCAGTAGAGCAACACTCCCATGTAAAAAGTAGTCCTTACGTGCGATTTTATGACCGTTTCTAGACTTTTGGTTAACAAAACAAGAAAGTAAATAACATATCTCCTTCAAAAGCAGCAAAGTACTGCGTGTCTGCTTTTAACATCCATCAAATGCTGCCTCCCCTGTGAGGAAATATTTGGGGATTATCTACCAGGATCAGCTGCTTTTCATTAATAAGAACGCTTGTCTTGTTGTTAAATACACACATTCTCGATAGTATATTATGTTACAGTTCTCAATACTTTTACAGATTCGTCTTCATCTGGGCTACTTTCCCTTGTTGTGTCAAAGCGCGCTTTTCTCTCCCCTTCCCATGATTTCTCTGTCGTGCTGAGTTTCCTTTCTCCCTTGTGACCGGCGGTGCTTGGCAGGCTAACCGCTCAGTGCATATCCATCACGAGAGGAACTCGCTGACCCACAAGACAGAGGCCTCCAGCACTCTGGTCGTGCACAGCGTGAACGTGACAGACACAGGCTCCTACACCTGCACCGCCAACAACGCGGAGAAGAGCTTGCAGCGCTCCACCCACGTCACTGTGCAGGGTAAGGCTGGCCTGAAATCCTGAAATCCCGACCCATGGGGAAGGGTCTCCCCCCGAAGCCCCCAGGAGAACTTCAGCAGGTCAATAAGCGCATCACAGCGAAGAAAGAGCAAAAAGGGGAACAAGACGTCTCCCTTCCTCAAAGGAGTTCAAGAACCCCTCGGCCCTCACACATCGACGTGTTGGCCGTTCCTACAACGAAACCGTTGCATTGCCCGAATCAGTGAGTGTTAGAATAAAAATATAGGGAGAATCTGAATCCCGAATCCAGGGCCCATGAAGGCACTTGCCTGTGAAGCTTTAAACAAGACCAAAAGCTTTATCCTTGCTGTGCTTCTTTGAAAAAACGAAAACTTTTGTTATACAACTAAAAGTTCAAACCATTTATAGGGGCTCACAAATTGTTATCATGTCATATTTATGCAGTACCGTAAAACATGTCACCTGAATTTGTGTTTTTTGTTGTTTTTATGAATGCAAAAAAAAATTTTTTGAAAACAATAAGGTGGTGGGCTGCTATACATTTGGCCTTCAAAAATGATTTTAATGTGTATCGCATTGTGACCTCACTTTATATTGTCTTTGTTTCAATAATAGTGGAAAATCTCTTCTTTGGATGTATGTACCATAACCCCCCTCTCCCCAAGGAAAGCAACAAAGTGTTCTTATAAAACCACTTAACAAATTTGGATGTTGCAAAGTAACATCTGTAATTGAACAAAACATCAGTGGATTTGGGAAGTTTGTGGCTTACAAATCTTTATTATTAGCACAGCTGTGACATAACTTTCTCATAACTTTGTGTTTCAGAAAAGCCCTTTATCAGCGTTGACTACAAGGCAGGGCCACTGGTCGAAGCCACAGCTGGTGAAAAGATCCTCAGGCTGTCAGTGAAAGTTTCTGCCTACCCCTTGCCTGAAACACAATGGTGAGAGAAGACTGGTTTATATTGACACACTCATCACTACACTCCTTTGAAAGCTCCCTCAGCTCCAGATGACCACCTTATAAAAATATGAACGGTGTCAATACAGAATAATGTCTCTGAAATGTCTTCTGTGGCTTGCATTTTTTAATGACAACCAAAAAGCAGCACCTAGATGTTATTTACCATATTCACAAATTAGTATAAAGTCTCTTGAAAGCTTCAAAGCTTTTTCGTTCATAAATCATTTACAATCACAGCCTAGAACTCTAGATTTCTGTTCACCTGGAGTGAGATTTAAAAGTGAGATAGTGAGCTACTGTATGTGCAAGTAAGATACATATAGTTGTAGTCATAATTTTATTAAATTTTGAGCTAATCATAAGAGTACTGTAGTGTCTCAGTGGGAATTTGTTTAGGTTTTTTTTTTATTTTGTTTCAGATTTGTTTATTTTAATTTGATATATTAAACCCTCAGCCCAGAGGGAGGAATCGCAGAAGCAATTGATGAAGCAAAACAACAAAGAAAAAAGTGGGGAAATGTATTAGGACAAGGAACATGAAACATCATACCACTGGAGCAATAGAGTTTCAGCGGGCGTATTTAAGGGTGATTTGTGCTTGTTTCAGGTACAAGGATGGAAAGTTGATAACCAAGAGCCCGGAGTTCAACAGGATGCGGTACCAGAACCATGGACTGGAGATCCGGGATGTGTTGCAACAAGATTCTGGCAACTACACCGTCGTCCTCAGAAACAGCGCAGCCGGCCTGGAGAGGAGCCTCAGTCTCAGCCTGGTTGTCAACGGTAAGCACCTCGTCACACAAAGCTCGGCTTCGAGAAGGAGGGGCAGATCGGAGATTTTCATCAGCGAACTTACAGAACGGTCCAGAAACCAAAAGGCCATATGACTTTGGAAATCTAAGAAGAATCAGCTGTTTGCATGAAGTTTAGAGCAGCAAGTCATGCACAAGGATAAAGTACTGTAACTATCCCTGTGCCCGGTTCCATAGTGACCTCCCACAGAAACTGTCTTTAATTCTGTGTGCATGGGAGCTGAGGTAGCTCAGATGGAAAGGGTGTCTAGCTCCTGACTGGAAGGTCCCGGGTTCAATCCCAGGTAGGGGCAAGTGATTTCGCTTGCTCTAAGCCAGACAGCTCCAGGTCCACTCAGCCTGCTTTCTAAATGAGAACCGAGGGTTAACCCTTCCGGGGAGAAAAGTCCGGCCGGAGTGTGATGCTGTCCACATCGCCTCCACCTTCAGTGTCGGATGGCCAAAGAAAAATGGTGGCCCTTGCTCCCAATTCCCCATGGGGCCTTCTTGGCCTGAAGGGACCTACTGTACCTACTGTGTGCTTGGCAGTCTGGCAGGAGACAGTGTAATTGGACAGCAAGATGAGAAAGCAAGCAAAGAATAATCAAGTTACCTGAAAATATAGATGAGGCAAATGAAACATATCAACCAGTGTAGCTCACGGCGTGTTTTGCATGGTCACGCGCCGTACTTTTAAAAGAGAAAACAGGCAGGTCCAGGCTGCTGTCCCACTCACCTCTGGAGCTCAGCTTGATCTGGGCCGGTGCCCTGTGCCTGTGCAGTTCCCCCGCGGATCCACGAGAAGGAGGTGGCTTCCCCCACCAGCATCTACCCGCGCGGGAGTCGGCAGACGCTCACCTGCACGGCCTACGGGTTCCCGCCCCCCACCTCCATCACCTGGCAGTGGAGGCCCTGGACGCCCTGCGGCCTCAACAGCACTCGCAGCACGTAAGGAGCCCGCCCTTCCGCTGTCTTCCTCTGGCAGAACCTGCTCGACACAAGCACAGAACGGGAGTCACGTTACCACCCTAAACAGTACACAGTTTGTGCTTACAGCAATGCTTAGTCTGTTAACATTTTTAATAATAATAATGGCTTAAACTTATATAGCACTTTTCTGGACACTCCACTCAAAGCGCTTTACAGGATTCCCCTCCACCACCACCAGTGTGCAGCCCCACTGGGATGATGCGACGGCAGCCATAGTGCACCAGTACGCTCCCCACACACCAGCTCTCAGTGGGGAGGAGAGCAGAGTAATGAAGCCACATAGATGGGGATTATTAGGAGGCCATGATTGGTAAAGACCAATGGGAAATTTGGCCAGGACGCTACACGTCCTACTCTTTTCAAGAAACGCCCTGGGATTCTTAATGACCACAGAGAGTCAGGACCCTGGGTTTGGAGATTATACGGTACGTTTTCTCCGGGTGCTCCATTTGCTCTCCCCCTACAGTGCAACTCCAGCAAGTGTATCCAGGTTTATATGCCTTGGTGAAAAAAAAAAGTTAAATCCACTTGAACGTATCAAGAAAATCAATTAGCACTAAACCGTTGAGACTACATCTAGCATCTGAAGCAGTCTGAGCATATAAAATTGTCTCCGTCTTTATCAGTGCACAGTTGGCTAGTCTTGGCATTCTCAGCTGTTAATTTAAGGGCACTTGGTTCATACGGAGTTCAATCCAGATATTCCTTGTCCGCTCTGGCATTTTGCCTCCCCCCATTGTACACACTTGCAAAAGGGAATTCACCCTTTTTCTGATGCGATTTTTTCTGTCAATGGTGGAGCAGAGGCTGAACTTTACTACGGCACTGCTCCTTCCGCGCAAGTGAGAGGGAGATAAGGCAGCCGCGGGGGGGGGGGGGGGTATATATAGCGCGGTGAGTCAAACAACAGGAAGTCCTGTTTGGGGGGGAGGAGGTGGAGCAGGGTGGCATCCTCTGGCTTCGGGAGGAAAATAGCCACTGCTGCTGTGTTGTCAGCACTGACACCGCTGTTGACACCCGGCACAGACCGTTTCCTGCCAGATTCACCAGGGTTCTCTCAGACAGACAAGCCCCTGAGTTTCCTCCCAGCCCCAGCGCTCAGCTGAATGGCTATTTTTAAGAACCATTAAAGATTCCCAGAGGGGACATCTGCAGAATCCTGTAGCGTTATTACAGCCTCAGGGCCCTCTGGCTAGCTTTCGAGATTTTTATAAAAGCAGCACAACGGTTAATTGGACCCGGTTCTAGTGTAAAAAGACTGAATATTATTCTACATAATGACATAATGAAACTTGAATGTAGTTCACAATGAAGTCCATCTGTCCAGTATCAAAAAAATCGCTTCATTCTATTGAGGGCTGCGGCAACCTGGAGTTTTCCTGTAAGCACAGGGTACCAATATTGTGGGCACACAAAGGGTCAATTCCGAGTCATGGATGTCCTAATAAAGAGGGGTGATGCCAGAGCACCCAGGGAAACCCCACACAAACACAGAGGAACATGCAAACTCCACACAGAAGACACCCCCCCCAGTGCCAAATTAAATCATAGACTTGAGCTCCCCAAAGGCAGTTACATTACCTTCCAGACCACCATGCCAACCTCACAAGACAGTAATAACATACTGTTTCCAAATGCTGTTGTGTTGAATCCCGCAGGGTGATTTTTTAAAATTGCACTGGAAAAATGTAGAGAAATATAGCAAAAGAGTTTTTAAATCCAGATTTCAAGTCCGTACATCAAATGTAGAATCCTGTCCTCATGATGCATAATACCAAATGCTACCCCAAAACATTACAAAGTCTATAATAAAAACTAGACTATATCTAAATAAATCTACTCTTGTAAAGACTAAATATCTTTCTTGTAACACAGCAATCAATACTATAGAATGCAGGTTCAGGTTATCTGGCTCATAAGATACTTATTACTATTTTTACAAATGTTCAATTTATGTTATCCTGTCAGGTTCCTGGGCTAAGCTCAGGATGAGCCTCTGCAGTACCCTCTATATCCTTAATTATCTCCATTCAAATGCAGGAAGGTAGTACCAACATAAGGAGCTTCCTCATAAGGGAATAATAATTCCACATATCCTGACAAAGAAGTGGACAATGCCGTCCGGTCATCATGGAGGAAATAAAACTTTTAGATCTGCTAAAGTATACTTTTTTCACAAAGCTTCTCACAGATCTTTAGAAAAATCTTGGTAAACTCTGTTATAATCAGTACAAGTACTGTACACATGTACATTTTTTAGAAAATGTGGGGAAGCAGATGAAAAAGGCAAAACAAAAGACAAAAATGTTTGTGTATATAGTATATAGTATAATAACAGTAATCATGGGATGTTAAATCTACCAGCAAGGCTTAATTTAGAATTGTGGTCAATATTGGTCACTGTTTTATAGGAAAATAAATATATTGGTGTTCCTGAGTCCAGGGAAGAGCTGCCAGATGCATCCTGGGACTTCAGAGAGTGCCCGACACTGTCAGGCTGAAGAAAAAGAGTCTTTTTGATCGTGAGATTGTTGTACGCAACATTATGAGGGGACCCGAATCGAGTATTTGATATCCTAAAGTCAGCTCCTTCAGCGGTATCAGTGAAATATGAAGCAGAGGACACAAGGGGAAACGATACATGGAAGTTCATTAAAGCCTGTGAGCGAAAGCCTTGTCTTTACACCAGGGTTGTGTGGGAATCTGGAACAAGATTCCCTGCCACTCTGCTGCTTCTTTCCAGAAACATCTGAGTGAGATCCTGGCTTAATTAATGACTAACAGGCTAGACGGGCCAAATGGCAGATGAAAGTCGTGGAAGGCAGAGTCGTGACCTCTTTTTCAAGGCAGCGCTGTTTTCATGGTCTCGTTTCAGAGGGCTCAGAGGAGCAGTGAAGAGAAACCAGAGAGACCGCATGCCGGATTGTCAGAACTGGCAGGATGTGGAGTCGGAGAACGCGGTGAACCACATTGAAAGCATGGACACATGGACCGAAGTGGTGGATGGTAGAAACAAGGTACGTCCTGGCTTTGTCCAGGTTGCAAATAGCAGTGCCTACTGATAATGATGTTTTAATAAAACCAGGCTGGATTTTCTACTGTGTGCAAACAGGCTCTCTCATTCTTTTAATGTGGAGCGGCCATTATGTCTACAGAACCTCATACAGAACTCAAGGTGTCTTTAACACTGACCTATCACTCTGACTCGAAAACATAATGGTCTTCAAACCATCGCTGTGGGGCACTGCAAGAGGATATTTTCCTGGTATGTCCCCAATTCCCAGAAGCACAGTTGTAGTGGTTTAAAAAGGGGGCAAAACAGGTCTCTTGAAATCATATGTCCTCAGATAGCACCGGGCCAGCTAAAAACATTTTGTTTAAGCACGACAGAATGTCATGGTGTTCTTCATTAAGGCGATTGAAAGGGGCTGGGATGTGGGGAGGCTGGACCGTGAGACGCCTTTTCTTTTTGATTCAAGGCTCTTAAATTCTCGGGCCTGACAACATTTGTCCAGTGAGGACAGCAACAAGGCCAGCTGCCACACTTGCTCCCATGTGCGATATTGAAAAGTGCCATGCTGTTCACACTTCCTGGAGGGAGCGGGGAGTAGTTCTCATGTCCTGTTCCCAGACACACTTGTGACGGGGGCACAGGGGCGTTTTGGACAGATGGAACAGTCTTAACCTGAGCAGCCTTGGCATGAGCAGACATCTGACAAGCCTATTTTATTCCTAACTCAAATCTGAGTTGGAGCCACATTTGGCTTTTTTGGGAAGCTTTCGACTAAAGCTGCTATCAGAAGAGTCTGCAAAGCAAAATTTATTCTGTCATCCAATAAGGTTATGGAGACAGGATGTGCAATCGATTGATTGAGATGTTCTCTGCATTTTCGATTGTCAAATTCTGAGGCTACAAATGAATCACTAAATTGCTCTTCAGCGCTGCTGTTTCGTACAGTCCTCCTGTATTATTGTGTTACTGAAATAAAAGATTTACTTACTAGTTTGTTTACAGCATATGTTAATAAGTATTATTTCTGTCTGAATTTTTTTTTCACGACCCTTCCTTGAAAGTTGTAGCAAATTACGATGATCTGAAAGTTCTGTATTTTCTCTAACAGACAGTGAGCAAGATTGTCATTCAGAACGCCAGCGTCTCTGTAATGTATAAGTGCTCTGCTTTCAACAAAGTGGGAAAAGATGAGAGGCTGATCTATTTTTATGTGACAAGTAAGTATCATGAAAGCGTATTCCAAAACTTCTTCCCAGCATGTTTATTTACAGTAACACCACTGACGTTCCATTACAGAATTCGCAAAAATAGTAACAGCTGTCCATGCAAACATGAGGCTGCAGAAAGAATCCCTGAGGTCCCATTTAATTGATGTATCCAGTGAGCAGTTTCCTCCTTGTGTTTGAAGGGGAAATCACACAGAGAGAAGAAGCTCCGTTATGTGGAACTTTATCATTCATTTTTTACTAATCTTTAGTATCATTGTTTTTGAAAATGATTAATCATATTTATATAGCATCTTTCACCCCAAAAAGAGATCCACTTCACCCATTGCCGAAGTGTGAAAGTCACCTGTGTGACGTGTGGCTGCCATTAAGTGCCATCAGCCCCAGAACAGGAAGAAAAGTGAGAAAATCGCCAATTACAAGTTTAGCTTGGGGTTTAGCCAAGACACCAGGGTGAATATCTTGATCTTGTGATCTTGGCATAACATCTCATCTGAAACACGGCACCCTCTACAGCAGGGTGTCACAATAACAGGACATTGGTTTCATCAAGAAGGAAGAATGCCACCTACTGGTCTACATTGTCTCTCGAAAAATACCAATAAATTTAATTTCATTTTTTGTTGTCATTACTGAGTCAATAAAATCAGTAATGACTTTGTTATCATAAGTAATGCCTTTGTCATTAATATACAATCTTTAACTTGCTATTTTTTGCAATATCTGTTTCAAATTTTCATTTTGGCTTCAATATCCCACGTGAAATGCAGCAATAGTTCTCTAAAGACATGTTAAAGCACAAATCATAAATGTTTATTTAGGTTATAGCGATAGATTTGCATTGAATTCCTGCAAATTAGAATGCATCTTAGTTAACGAACAATGACTTCGTTATTATCTCGACCTTCATGGCCTACTCACTTGTCAAGGGCAGTAAGCAGATTGTAATGCCACACGTATCTGTGCGTCACTTCCTGTGGCAGCTATCCCAGAAGGCTTTGGGATCGAGCTCCAGCCCAGCGAGGAGCCGCTGGAGCATGAGGTGGTCAGCCTCAAGTGCAGCGCCGATAACTACACCTACGAGAACCTGCAGTGGTACCGCCTGGACCCCCGGGCCCTGCAGGACGACAGCGGCAAGCCCTTAGTGCTGGACTGCAGGAGCGTACACCTGTATGCCAACCGCCTGGAAGGAAACCTGTCCTTCGAGGCCGCCACCAACAACTGGGTCCTGGTGCTCGGCATCCCCAACATCCAGCTGAGCCAGGAAGGCGACTACGTGTGCGAGGTCCAGAATCGGAGGAGCAGGGAGAAACATTGTCACCGCAAATTCATTCCGGTGAAGGGTAGGCCCTCAGCTCCTTTACTCCAGCTCGACTGAGTTTGAGCTTTTTCGTTTCGCGCGTTCATGCACGGCTTTTTTTCGTAGACTCCATCTCAGTGTCTCAGCTGACCGAGCACCGGTTACTTTTTTCAACACACATTCTCTACACATAGAGGTGCACGGCGGAGCGTGTGTTCACAAAATACTCCCATTCTAGACTATTCTCTCGCCATGCTCAGATAGGCTTTCTGCCCGCTTTGCAAAACTGAAGACATGCTTCAGCTGCAAGACACAGATCATACTCCACGAAAAATACTTGGTGCCACCAACCTCAGCAAACTGATTAATGAGGTCACTTCTCGGTTGTTAGATTTTGGTCCGTATACAAATCAGAGGGCACAAGTGGAGGCTATGTGAAATTGCTTTTAAAGCCGAGAACAGGGGTCACTTCTTTACCCAAAGGGTTGTGGGAGCATGCAACAAGGTACCTAGACACGTTGTTGAAGCCGATACCCTGGCTTCCTTCAAGAAACTGTTGGATAAGTTCCTGGGATCAGTTGACTCTTCACTACCAGATGAGCTGGATGGACTCAGTCCCCATCCCGCGTTTGTAAGCTTTCTTATGTTCTTGTCCTTTCAATGTGATACTGTGATATCAGTCCAAAAGCGTGGCCTGAAGTGGGCAAGCAGAGGGTGATTTTGAGTTTTTAACAACCTCCAGCTCAGGAGGCGCCTCACTTCCGGCACAGCCCGACCAATCAGACCGTGAACGTCAGCGAGTCCCTGTACACGAGGTGCGATGTGGAAGGCACGCCCACCCCGCAGGTCTCCTGGTATAAAGATGACAAGCCTCTCCACCAGATATCAGGTGAGCCGCCTTTCTAATCGCCTCAAGAGGGCTCAGCAAGAAATCATGGAAAATCAAGGAAATCATGAACAGTGACCTTAAAAATGGAAATCGGTCATAACTCATAACATAACCACCTTTTCCTAAGGGCAGTTTTTGCCACAGCTGTTTTGACAAAAGGCAAAATGGAGAAAAAGCTGCACCGTGTTTTCAATACAAATCAGTGTCAGCATAATATCATTCGTTCCCCCAGTTTTGGATGAAAATTGTACACCTGTGAAGGTGCAAATAAAAGTCAGCCCAAAGGTTTTTAAAAGACTATGACCTTTCCCTTTGAAAAGGGGGGTATTGTCTTTTTCTAAATGCTGCACACCGTGTTTGTAGCAACCTGTACGTTTTCCAAATTGTGTAACTTTTGGTGCTGAGGGTTTTTTTTTTACTTTGTTTCCGCTGCTCCTTACAGTGGTGTAAACAGGAAGGACTCGTGCAAAGTCGGCAACAGTGAGCCAAGACCATAAAGTGAAGTTGAGAACAGTCACAAGCCAGAGTGCGCCATCAGACTTTCCTTTGGCTCGTGAACAGCTCCTGTCCCTTCATGTGCAACACTTTTGAATGGGAACCGTTTGATCCAAAGGGTCACTTTATTATAAACCGTTCCCTTTTCTCTTGTGAAGCAAACAGAGGCCTGAGGCACCTTTGGCCCTTTATTAGCAATACTTGCAAGGATATAATCATGTAATGCAAAAGAACTGAGAAACTGTATTAATAAAAGAGCATGATCCGAGCGAGTCACGGGTATGTGCTGTTAGAATTGCAGGGAATATACAGAACAGACATTATAACAGATATATCAGCACCTGTTAAAATATTGTTATATTGTTATAAGTCTGTTTTACTTTTATACTTCAAAAATCTGAGTTATCCAGCAAAAACAGTTGTACTTTTGCCCTTCTGAGGCTTTTAAACCAGAATAAATTCTAAAAATAAGTGAGGGGGCTTTGGGGAATTTGCCATTCAGTTTCAGTGAATCGTGTTAATGGAACTCACTACATTGGCGAATGACGAATGAGCTACATTAGGAACAATAGTGGCGACTTTTCCAAGAAGTAACCTAAAGGGATGGAACACTACAGTTTTTATTTGGGATTGATTTTTTTTTTATTTTATACGCAGTTGTAGTAAGAGATATTGACTCTTTTTACAGAATACATGCAGCTATAGAACACAGCTGAAGAATTTAATTAACGGCAGATATATCCTTTCCACACAGTAGATATAATTAATAAGGTACAATTCTGGTGTATTTGAAGTTAAATTGAATAAAGGCTATATTGCAGTACAAAAACATTTTGAGATAATTTCCCTCAATATGAATTTTAACACGAACAATTTAGCCACAATTCCAACCATCAGTAGTTTCTAATGATTTAATGTATTTTTAAGGGGTATGAATGTTTTCTGTCATAACTGCATATACGCTCAGTGTTACGAATGCCATTTACATTTTAGCATGTGACACTTTATGAACATGGACACATCAGAGTGATTGAACACACCACAGATGTACACTGACACCCACTCCTCACATAAGCCATCAGCTGTATTTTGCTTTTCCGATCCACATCGTAGCCCGCGGTCTTCATGAAAATGATACTCTGAATGTCTGCAGAGGTGTGTGCAGCTCTCTGGGGCTGCACACGGGCGTCGGACAGCTGGCGTGGAGCTGATTGCTGGGAGTGTCTGTGTGTGTGTGCCTGGAGTGGCCAGTCCTTGGCTACAGCTGTGCTGATACAGTGCTGTATACAGATACAGTGCTGTCGAAGAGGTGCAGAGTGACCTGGAGCTGTGCTGGCATAGAGGGAGCGTCTCTGCAAATTGCTTCTTTCAACCCTGTAGACTAGGGGTTTCCCAGTCCCAGTCCTAGATGCCCACACACCACCTGGTTGTCTTTCTAGCTGAGCTTAATCACCTAGCTGAAGCCTTAATTGAACCAACCAGTTGCTTGATTCGAATATTTGCAAGCCTTTTTCTATCGGAAAGTTTGGGATCATATCTTAGTTAGGAAATGCAATACTTAAACTACAATCTCCAATATGTTTTAGAGATGAACACAGGCAGGCAGTTCAAAATTAATGGAATGATTTCTGCGTTGAAGGGCTCAGTGGAGTAACGCAGCGCTGGGCTGGAGCAGCCACCAGCAGGAGTGTGGACCTCCAGGACCAGTGCTGGGAAGCCTGTCACACCTGCAGCACTGCGTGTGGAAGTGCTGTGTGGATGATTTCTGATCGGGAATCATGTTTCCAATGTTGGGGTTCTCTGGGGCTTTAAAGTTGAGCTTGGAAAGGTACCCGGAAAGATTTGAGGCAACAATGTAGGTTTCAGGCAGCCTGCTGATAATTGTGATCCAGGATGTCAAGGCTATAGGAGCAGGGTTTCCCTATTCCCACCTACCCAAATCCCGACCTACTTAATTGCTGGGTAAAACAGAACCGTCAAACTGTTGTATCCTGACTACGTTTTAGCGCAAGGGTCCTTGAATCAAGGGTGTCTTTTGAATCATAAACTTCTGCAAGGCCTTAAAAACTCCTTTTGAGCGCATGATGAGGTCAGGAACGAGTAAATGAAAAGAGCAGAGACACCACGTTTTGGCTGTGGAGCCTTCTTCAGGCACACTGAAACGCTGTGGCTCTTTTCTCTTCAGTATGCAATAGACCTTTACCTGTTCCTTTGCAGCCTGCACATGTGGACGTAGCTCCCACTTGAATGATTAGATTACTCATCTGAGAGTAAGAGTAAAAGGCTTTAGAGCACCTCGTGAACTTAGATCCTGCTGGTGCAGATGGTGTTTGCTAGTGAAGACTAGACAGACGGTTTGGCGGGTCCTGTGGGTTCTGATTCAAGCGGTGCCTAGGGCGAACCTGTGTGTGGGTGGCCTTCTGAGCTGGAGGAGGAGAATTTGATTGACTGCTGTCTGGATGTGCACAGGGATCGTGCTGCAGGACTCTAACCAGACGCTCAGTATCCAGCGAGTGCGAGAAGAGGATGCCGGCCTCTACACTTGCACAGCCTGCAACCAGAAGGGCTGCATCAGCATGTCGGCAACAGTCACCGTCGTGGGTAAGAGACCCGGACCAAGAGCACGTGTTTGTACCCAGGCGGGCTGCGGTGCAATGCACATGCGTTCACGCACACATACACGGGCCGTCCCTGGCATGGAGATAACATGCTGTACCTGTATGTGAGACACAAACACCAGTCACAAAACGGAGCAGACTCAAACACAGCAACATGGGTCACCCTGGCTCTGTCCTTCACATTGGGGGAAAAATGCAGAGGGCTGATGTTTACACTGGTGCCTCTGGGAATGTTGTGGGGGGAAAAACTGGAATAAATATTCCAGTTCGCAATTCCACTTCCACTGCGGAAGATCGCATTTTAACATGCTGTGGGCAGGTACATTTCTGTATGCACACAACATGCTTTTAAAACAACACCCCAAAAAATGCTACAGCGCTGCTTCTCAGCGTGCCAAATGTGTAACAAGTATTGTTGTGGCCACTTAGAAGGGCTAAGTGGAAAAATTATGGTTTGTAAAATAGGAAAAGGCTGATTTCTTTGAAATCTCTACCATGATGTAATATGGATGGACATTACCTTCTGTCAGGCACCAGTGATATCAGGAATGTTATTTCACCTAACACAGCATATTTTATGAAAGGAAAGTCGTCACTATTGGTTCTAAGTGTTGTAGCGATATTCAGTCAATTACAGCGTGCTGTCAAACAAATTGCAGTTTGTTAATATGCCAATGCAAGAAAAAGATGCGGGTGCTCAAGAGTCAGCAGTCACATTGAGTCTTTTTTTACAAGGAAAGATGAAACAGTTTGAAAAATGAATTGTCCGGGCTGGGGGGGTCAGGCTGGTGGGGGTGTCCAAGGTTTGTCATGTGACCTGTGTTCTTGTGGTGTTGCTATTAGAGACACAACAGTACCTGAATTGGGTTAATCTGTCTGACGCAGTGAGGCTACGAGTGTGAAAATGGTTATTTTGACAGAAGGAAAGGGTACAAAGTCCTCAAACCTCCTACACTGCTTCAAGAGTCACAGCACCTCACAGAATAATTAACAATTGATGTGTACACAAAGAATAATACTTGGATATTCCACATTTGTCTACCCCCTGCCAGCTCTTGGCGCTTTGTGCACACTGCTAGTTTTCTTGGCACGAAAACATTTGTTATTGCTGTAACTTATATTGAATCCTCAGGTTTGAGAAATCAAGTAAAAAAATAATTTGACAAAATCAAGAGTGGTTTTGATGGTTGATTCATCAAGATGAAGCCTTTAAAATGCACTTTTGAAAAGGGACTGCATTTCTGATGAATTGCCACAAAGGAGAAAAAACTAATGAATAAAACACTCTGATCTAGCATAAGAAAACTGCTGTTTCCTGTGGTAATATACTTCTGTAAGATATGATGTTTTAGTAGAATTAATAAAGACAGAAGCCCTGCTAGCAGGGAGACAGTTTTGAGGAGCTTCTTCCTGATTGTAGATTATTGCTGATCTCTGTAAATGTCAAATATTTTCAATATCCTTCATAAAACCTTGCTTATCCCTTGGCAACACATGAAGAGAGTTAAACATTGGAAGCAGTTTCAGAATTAATATGCTCTTTTGCTCCCTCTAGTGCTGCTATGAGTGTACTGTTGTTTTTGATTTAGTTTAATTCTGCTTCAGTTTTTTTTTTATCTTGGCAAGACAATTTAACCACAGGGTAGACACTTTCACAACATATCTTAGTTAATATATTGCCATCTGCTTTCGTTCATTTGTTTCTGCATATTATGACAAATCTATTCAGTATTATAGAAGCACAGCTTTTTGCATGGCATGTGTTTTCAAACCAACACGCAGATTTACAATTCTCTGTCAACAGGTCAATTTGATGTTGTTTTATCCCTGTGATGTTTGTGGTCATAACAGAAATTATAGCTGGTTATGCTGATTGCATTGTGACTTGGCATGCATGCACCACTATAACGTCGGAAATTAAAAATCACAGTGGATTCTGTCATTTATAAGTTTGTATCAGATTACTAGATGTTTTGGACATTTCTATGCTGTAAAAGGTAGTTTTGCGCTGCTCAGCTGTGAACTATGACTCCCCCACTTGATAGTGCCATGTTTAGAAATCAATAGAGTTGTCAATTCGAGATTTACGTTTCAGGCTCTTTGGTAGGATGGGTCAGAACTGGCGAGTCAGCCGCTGCTTGAAAGAATTCACTAGATAACACGATGGCAATGTTAACCCATGCTATGCCATGCCAGAGGTCCGAAGCATTTTAAATATTCTCTTTAAACCTCCCCAGCGCCACTGCGGAAGTCGCACGCAGACTTACGTAAAGAGAAAATGCTCCGTTTCCTGCAGGCAGCTGGCCGTGTTGTCTGTGTCCAGGCCGCGGTGCAGACGCTTCCTGTGAAGCTCTCTGACCTCTGCCCTCTTCCAGGCTCGGACGACAGGACCAACGTGGAGATTGTGATCCTCATCGGCACTGGCGTCATCGCTGTCTTCTTCTGGATCCTCCTCCTCCTCATTTTCTGCAACGTCAAGAGGGTGCCTGCACTCTTCTCTTTTTTTGCTCTTCCAACCCTTACATGAACATTTGCTTTCAATCAAGTATTTTAAGTGCCTTCCTGATTACCAGTGGGCAGGGTGGATGATGCAGGATCATCTACCATATAATTTTATATTGAGATGGCCCTTTTTCCTCTTCCTGGTAGCTCCTGATTTTTTTTTTAAGTGGGCTTGCACTCCATTAATTCATGATCATGATGATCTGATTGACATTTAATAGATTTTCATTTCTAAGAAGCTGCTGTGCATTTCTCCATGATATGAACAAATTCTCATTATCTTGGAGTTGTGATGTTTCCACTTTTATGTGAGAAAAACAAATACTGATAGCAATGAAAAACAGGGGCCGTGCATGGCATGGACTAAATGTAAGATGTATGTAAAGCATCATGGATACAACTGCCACACAACTTGGATTTGAAAGGTGATCTGCTGTACGTACTGTATGTACTGTAGTACAGGTAGTGTGCATCAAGTATGCAGCTGTGCAGTTTCTGTGATTTCTGAGTTCCTCAAATAAGCTGCACTTTTCTGGAGACTGTCATACAGGGTGTGTAAATCTACATTGTCTGCAATTGTGTGTAAAGTAACAGCACATGGATTTACTACAGTTTGAAGATGAGTGGACGGTGCGCAGAATCTTATTCTTGGTGTTGTTAATGGTATTTGTGAGCAAATGTTAAGATTTACAGGTATAGGTATTTGCAGTATATGCTAGAAAGACACTTTATAACACAGGGATATTCCCTACAATGTAAATACAGCGTACTTACACTGGAACAATAGTGCATTAAGAAAGTTAATTATATGTAGCAACCAATACATTTCTATTAACAAAGGTGTAATAACACTACAGAATTTCTGTATATTGAATATTGAATACAGCTTGCTATTCTGTAACGTCTTCTCACTGAGACATTTCAGAATAGAAATTACAATGGTTTAAAGTCTGAGCAGGTAAAAGTCTCCCAGTAACCTTGGGAATGTAGAATACATGTGCTGGATCAGCCACCTTCCCATCAGCAGCCTGTCCATCTCCCTCTTCAATTCCATTAAAGTGTCCTCTGTCTCCCCCGTGACAGGCCAACCCAGCAGACATTAAGACGGGTTACCTGTCCATCATCATGGACCCAGGCGAGGTGCCACTGGAGGAGCAGTGCGAGTACCTGCCCTACGACTCCAGCCAGTGGGAGTTTCCGCGGGACAGGCTGAGGCTCGGTGAGGCCCTGTGTGTGAGTCTGTGTGCATCACGCCACACAAAGAGCAGAACCCTGACCCCTGGACCTGCACAGTTGTTTGTCCTTCAGAAACTGCGAGAGCTTCGGCCCGACCTCCTAGGGGAATTACCTCATTTGTTCAAATGTTCCTTCTGTCTCTTGAATAAACACAAATGTTGGTGTATTTCCAGAAAGAAAAAAAAAGAAAAACATTTCCTGTGCTCTCCTAAACTGTCCTTCCAGAGAGGTTTCATGTTTACAAAGCTACACCCAGAAAACAGTTTGAATACCAAAATAACACAGTGCCTTCTCCTAGGTGACACAGTGTGATGTGTTAAACTGAGACACGTACTGGTGCAAAAAGCTTATCTTCTAGTTCTTGTCCACTAACGAGAAAATGGCAGTATTTAGTCGGATTTGGGTGAGCACCCTTTTAAAGTGGCAGGGCTCTGGAAACCAAGCATTGATAGAATTAAACTGTTGATCTCAAATTAAGGCAGATGAGATGAACGGCCTCCTGTTGTTTGCAGAATTTATTGCGGTCTAAGAATGAATCCTGATTTTTGGCTAAAAAAAAGATTTTTGTGCATCTCAAAATGTCGGGGGAGGCACAAAATGGGATTTTGAAGAAAGTCTCCTGCATTCCCTGTCCTTGCATCTTTTTACTAGGAAAGGTCTTGGGACACGGAGCTTTTGGGAAGGTGATGGAGGCCTCTGCCTTCGGAATTGGCAAGACGGACAGCCTGAGCACAGTGGCGGTGAAGATGCTGAAAGGTGAGGTTTTCACAGTGCGAGCTGGACGCAAGTTGTGGCCGTTACATCCCTTCCCACTGTTTCCGTTTCGAAGATCCAAGCTTTTCCGACAGAGAATGTCGGTAAGGACGACTGCTGTCTTGAAAACTGCATAGTTCTTCGTAGAGGTCCGCCACCAGTGTTAGGTGACACTTAGGTGCGTGTCCTGTAGTGTCGAGTGTAGTGTCGGGTATCACACTCAATCAGCAGGAACATGCTGGTCCTTCCACCAACGAACAGAGGAATTAACACGGTTCTGAAAACACAAATGCAAAAATACTTCATTAAATCAATTTGTGGGCTAACATGATTAGTTAGTCTTAGCGACTGTGACATTTAAAATATTTTTGACATCCCTGGCCTCCTAATAATCCCCCTCTCTGAACTGGCTTCATGACTCTGCTCTCCTCCCCACTGAGAGCTGGTGTGTGGGGAGCAGACTGGCGCATCATCCAGGTGGGGCTGCACACTGGTGGTGGAGGGGAGTCCCCATTACCCGTAAAGCGCTTTGAGTGGAGTGTCTATAAACGCGCTATATAAGTGTAAGGAATTATCCTCGGAAAGTCTCTGTGCACCCCTGGCCTGCCAATAGTGTGCCACTCGTCTGCTGTTGAATTTATTTTCAAACACTTCTGAGAGCAGGAGAGGAAGAGGTGTGCATACTCAGTATCAGTTTCTAGCTCGCACTTCGCTACGTTCCCAGAGTGATGATAGGGGAGAGGCTGACGCTTCTTTCTTGGGCCTGCAGAGGGCGCCACCGCCAGTGAGCACAAGGCCCTGATGTCGGAACTGAAGATCCTCATTCACATTGGGCACCATCTGAACGTGGTCAACTTGCTGGGGGCCTGCACTAAAGCCAACGGTGAGCAAAGATGATTATTTATTATTTTCCACTAATGCTACATTTACAGCACTTTTTTCTTTAAAAAAAGGAAACAAACTCAAAAATAGCTTTTAAACAGCTTAGTATTCCTAAAATAAACTTGCTGAAAGATTTATACTGCACTTTTACAAAAATATTTAGTCGCTTCTCATGGAGAGAAAAATATGTGATTTAAAAAGGTTTCTGAATACCGTATTGCCCATCTTCTTATAAATGTTAATATATCTCTACATCGCTCTCCAGGCCCCCTGCTGGTCATCGTAGAGTACTGCAAGTATGGGAACCTGTCCAATTACCTTCGTGCCAAGAGGGAGTTCTTCCTACCTTACAGGGTGAGTATATGATAATTCCTTACACTATATAAGTGTAAGTAATTATTAATTAATTATTAATCTACACCCTTACAGCAAACTCCCCGGCTCACACCTCACAATAGTGAGGGGGGTTTGGGCAGCTTATCCACTCAGATTGCCTCAGCTAAGTGATTCACAGTAAATGCTTTATACAAATATCACCTCTCTATCACCTGCCTTAGGATCTAACCACACTACTGAAATGTGACCTGTACTTCCTGTGCTGCGACGGGAAACTTTTCCAACTGAAGGGCGATCTCAAACGGAGGTCGGTCTCTGAGCTGCTGTGTCCTTCTGCTGTCCAGGACCGCTCCCCCAAGACCCGCAGCCAGGTGCGCAGGATGATAGAGGCTGTGCAGGTGGACCAGAGGAGCAGGCCCGAAGCCCCCGAGAGCACGGTTCCGGGTCGGTCTGTGGGCGGTCAGAACCAGAATGCCGGGCCCGGCCCGCAGAAAGGTGACGCAGCTCCTGGCCGAGTGGACCTTGTGCTCCCTGTGCAGGGCCGGAAGTCCTTTCCAGCTTCCGAATGACCCGTCTGCCGTTGGAAAATAAGATCCAATTTCAGATTTGAATCAATCAACAATATCATGCACGAGAGGAAAAGTTTTTTTTTCACTAAATTGACTTTTTTTTCCATTTTGAAGATGGAACATTTTGAAATGTTGGGGGAGGCACAAAATGGGATTTTGAAGAAAGTCTCCTGCATTCCCTGTCCTTGCATCTTTTTACTAGGAAAGGTCTTGGGACATGGAGCTTTTGGGAAGAGCAGGGAAGGGGAAAGAAATAAGAGCCAGTGGGAGTAGCTCTCCATTGTACCTCGACTTTAATCAGCAGCTGAAGGTGAAGTGAAACAGAAGCTGAGCCTTAAAGGCCGGTGGTTATATACCGCCGCGCCTCAAAGATGGCCTGCACTGTGAGGCTTGTTTCTTTCTGATTCGTTTTATTGCTCATGGACGTAATGGGGCTCAGTGGCGCTGAGCGACTTGCAGGTGTGATGTCAGCCCTCTGGAAACCACAGCACTTGGGCTCGTGTTTGTCTGGGAGTAGTTGTGTGCTCCTCTCAGCCATGATCACAGACAAAAAAAAAACAGAGCATTCCTCATTTCCCTTTCTGGAAATTTCCTTTTTCTTAAAATTTGAAGTAGTACTTTTGGAACAAAGGGTTTTTAACCCCTCCCCCCAGAATACTGTATATACTGGACCTGGACTGTTGGAGTTACCTGTCTCTCCTTTCCCTACAGAGGAAGACCTGTGGAAGACACCACTGACAGTGGAAGATCTCATCTGTTACAGCTTCCAGGTGGCACGAGGGATGGAGTTCCTGGCATCTCGTAAGGTAGGAACTGGCACACTAGCACGGGCTGGGCCAGGTACCTAAAGGCAAAGAGATGCCATTTCACATGCTGAAGAAATGCTCTCCAAGATCTCCCTCAGGGGCACACTGAGCAGCTTTTCCTAAACATCTGCTATCCAACCCATTGCGACACAGCTTGCATGCAGCTATTTTAATATGTAGGCACCGTGTATAACCAACTGCTAGACATGTTTATGTCGTGAATATTTTCATAGCTGGAATGGAGGAGATTGGAAGTGCACTTTTCTGTCTAGTAAAGCTTGGCCGGCCTCAGTTCTCCTAGTGCGGACGCGGGGAGAATGGAGTCCTCAGGCGTCTCCCTCTTGCAGTGTATCCACAGAGACCTGGCCGCCCGCAACATCCTCCTGTCGGAGAACAACGTGGTGAAGATCTGTGACTTCGGCCTGGCGCGCGACATCTACAAGGACCCCGACTACGTCCGCAAAGGAAATGTATGGGAGCTGCTTTAATCATTTGATCTTTATTTAGGGACAACCTCCCACTGAGACAAAAATGTATTTTTTGGTGGTGAGGAGGGAACTGCTGCACCTGCTGAAAGGAGTCCGGAGATCTCTATACTACTGAGATAGACTGAATTGCACCACAATGCTATGCTGCTCTATAACATGCACAGTATATCTGGAATAGTTCAGGTGGGTAGCTGCGTCAGCAGGCGTAGGCTGCAAAGGAACAAATAATAGGTTTATTCCATGCTGAAAAGAGAAGAAAGAGAACACAACGTTTCGGCCTTCTCTCGCACCTGTTTTCTTTCTTCTCTTCTCAGCATGGAATAAACCTATTACTTGTTCCAGTATAGCTAGAACTTCAGTTTAATTAGCATCCGAACCACGAGGTGGTGCTTTAATAGCATCCCTGGCAACAGATACATTTTACATCAGTGTGAAACTTCATCTGTTCAACTACAAACTGGGCGTGGCCTCGTTTAGTACTGGGTTCTGTCCATGAGCTCCTTTAAACCACAACCTCCTAGTAACAGGTGTAATGCCTAAGTACTGTTCTTGTATGTTCTAGGCTTGGGAGTTAAAAATGTGGTTTGTGTGCGCTGCTGTCCTTGTCTGGGGGGGTAGAAAAGGGCAGAGTCCTCCCCCACACTCCTTCCGTCTGGTTTGACCTATTGCTTTACTGCTTTCCCTCAGGCCCGTCTGCCCCTCAAGTGGATGGCTCCTGAGAGCATCTTCGACAAACTGTACACCAGCCAGAGCGACGTGTGGTCCTTCGGAGTCCTGCTGTGGGAGATCTTCTCCCTGGGTGAGGGGGAGAGGGCTCTGGGAGATGGGAGGTCGTGTGTGGAGTGAACAGCTGATAGCGGTGACATGGCTGGAGTCAGTCTGACATCACAGCAGCCGCTCCGAAAGACAGGCAGACTCCCCATGGCTTCGTCAAACAGGGCTTTTCGTGTTTTTCCTGCTCCCTTGCATGTTTTAGAAATGCATTAGAACATATTGCAATACTTGTTGCTGTAAGCAGGCGTGAGCCTGGTCAGCACCTGGATGGGAGACTACTGGGAAGGCTAAGGATGCTGCTGGAAGAGGTGTTAGTGGAACCAGTAGGGGGCGCTCACCCTGCGGTCTGTGTGGGTCCTAATGCCCCAGTATAGTGACGGGGACACTATACTGTAAAAAAGGCACCATCCTTTGGATGAGACGTAAAACCAAGGTGCAGATTTTAAATGGTCATTAAGAATCCCAGGGCATTCCTTGCAAAGAGTAGGGGTGTTATTCCGGTGTCCTAGCAGGTTTCTCCCCCTGGCCTTTACCCATCATGGCCTCCTAATAATCCCCCTCTATGAATTGGCTACATTACTCTGCTCTCCTCCGCACTGATAGCTGGTGTGTGGGGAGCGTTCTGGTGCACTATGGCTGCTGTCGCATCACCCAGGTGGGGCTGCACACTGGTGGTGTTGGAGGGGAGTCCCCATTACCTGTAAAGCACTTTAGTGCATTGTCCATAAGTGCGCTATATAAGTGTAAGAAAATATTATTATTATATTATTACTATTATTTTCTGGTGGGAATATGCACTGAGGAAGACAACAGGGCAGACGGTTTGCTGGTCGAGCACGAGTGAAGCCCTTACTCTAACTCCTCCTCCTCCTGCGCACAGGGGCCTCCCCGTACCCAGGGGTGCAGATAGACGAGGAATTCTGCCAGAGGCTCAAGGATGGCACACGCATGCGCTCCCCAGAACACGCCTCCCCTGAAATGTAAGTGCTGTGCCTTCTTGTCCAGCAGCTCTCGGCAGGTTCTGGAAAGTCCTCAGCGCAAGGACAGGGCTGCAAATCTATTTGTCGTTTCTGGCGGTTCTGCTGATCCATGGCTCTCCAACAGTGCTGTTGAGTCCCAGTGCCCTCAACGTGCAACTCAGAGCTGCTTAGCCACCTGACAGTCTTGAACCAACACTGGCCCTCCACTGTCTGCCTTTCTGCACAAGTATTATTCGTGCAACCACTGCAACCATTCGTATTTTGGTACCGAGCCAAAATTTTTTGAATATGAACCCCTTGAATTGATTATTTTTATTTTTGTAGCCTTTGATATAGTTTTAAATACTACAGCAAAATAAAGTATGGTCAGTGCAAAATACACAATTAGCCCGAACCATAATGACCGTAACGGGAGATTTAAAGGCTGGCACATACATCCGCAGAGCTCTGTTTGTGGCCGTCTGTACAGTAGATTCCTCCCTCTGCTCTCAGATACCGGATCATGCTGGCCTGCTGGCAGGGCGAGCCCAGGGAGAGGCCTACCTTCCCCACACTGGTGGAGATCCTGGGGGACATGCTTCAGGACAACGGCTTACAGGTGAGGCGTGGCTGGGCCAGAGGCCGAAAGCTTTGGGGGTTGTGAGCAGCTGGGAAGCAGGGGTTCCCAAACAAGAGTGTGGACAGAGGAAAGAGAAAGGCAACCTCTAAGTTTTTGGTCCTTAATGACTGTGATGTAGCAGGGTTTTACAGTTCCTGTTAAGCTTTAGACCTGAGAAATGTAAAAACCTGTCCAAATGAACAGGTACCTCAGTCAGTCATCATCACCAAACAACAGAGCAGACGAAGACGGCTTGAAAGCTTAATTTTGTCGCACTCTTTAATACCGTTTCGTTGTCGACAGGATGGAAAGGACTACATCCCTCTCAACACATCTCAGAGCTCAGAAGACGATGGCTTCTCTCAGGCCTCCTCTAGACCTCCTTCCCAAGAGGAGGACTGTGACGTGAGACTACCCTGCAATGTCATGCCCAACAGGTAGGGAGCACTGTAACGTGAATTCAGCAGAACTAAGCAGCAAGGAAGGGTCTGGGAGTGGCAATTAAATGTCACTGACCCTTCCCTATCTTGAGGTTTTTAGAAGAATAAAACTGTTGTGGTGTCTTTTTAGCTAGAAAAAGTACAGCTGTCACTTCCTGAATTACAGTTCTGGTATGAAAATCATTAATACTAAGCGAGCTGCCAGGATATTTTGGTAGGAGTGATACAACGGGGTTGAGAGTTAAGCACAAAGGCGTTTGTTCTCAATGCATAAATGTCCAGAACATTATCACAACTTAGTGTGAAGCTCTGTTAAGTGTGAACCACATGGGCTTTGTGCTGTTCACATTAACACAAGCATTGTTTGCTGACTGTTAACAGATAATTCAAAGTTCAATAGGCTGGTGAAAGGAGAATGACATTATGACAGTGTATAAACAATGGGTTCTTGAGGTTGCAAGTGGAAGCTAAGAGCATGTGGATTTAGGACTGAGAATATGACGCACGTCTTTGCACAGACTCATGGCTGATAGGCTGAAACTACCCATCCTGTAGCTCAAGCTGATTCTCTGAGCTCCTTCACGAAACAAGCAAAGTGGGTGTATGTCCTCCTGCAGTCTGAAATTTCTTATCTCCACAGATACTATAATTGCGTGCCCTTCACTGGATGCATGATTGCTAGGCCGCAGAAGGTCTGCCGCACAAGGGTCAAGACATTCGAAGAGTATCCCATGGAGCAGACTTCCCACAAGGCACACCCGGTGAGCACCACATCCACTTTCGCCTTTGTCTCCCCCTCTCTATACCTCCATGGCCTTTACTTTTGAACCACACCTTTTCTCAGTCTCTTTGCTGGTACATCGTATCTCAATATCCACGAGTTATTTCACTGATCTATCCAAGTGTCTGCTCTTTCTGCAAATTAAACAGACAGTATTTAATGCTGTGCAAGCATTGACACTCGCCTTTTCTTCGCCTCTACGATTGTTCCAGGGTTTATACCTGCGTAGTCCTCCGATCACCCTCAAAGCCAACCTAGGCACTTGCATCTTTGGATTTTTGCAGTCTACATCAGGCGTTCTCTCTCACAGAGCTCAATCACCTTGTTTACTCAGTCAAACTTGTTTACTAATTAAGTCTAACCAGATGGTTGCTGGTCCATTCATTTCAAAACCACAGAGGCCTGCGCAAGGTCTTACTGTTGGAAGTAGGACCCGAGTTTGATTTAAGAAATGTGGGGGGAATCCTTCTGAGGTGTGGCATCTAACTATGCCAGTTGTCCTCTAAGCACCCCTGTTTGAAAACCCCTGTTTGAAAACGCGAATTTGGCAGCAGGCTAGCATTCAGACACCCAAAACATTTGCCAACTGGAAGCTGCCATCGCCTCAACTAGCATCTTCATTGTACTCAAACAGTCAGGGATGACATTTAAAGCACTCTATGGAGCCTCCCAGCTTTCACCTGGTGACCCCTCCTACTAGACCGCAATAACCTCTGTGTATTAAGGCAGTGTGATGACAGGTTGAATCTCTCTGTGCAGGACAACCAGACGGACAGCGGGATGGTTCTGGCCTCGGAGGAGTTCGAGAGGATAGAGCACAAACACAGAGGAGCTGCGACACTCAGGTAGGAGTAGCAAATGCTCAAATGTCATGCCCAGTCTGCCATGTGGGGTCCGTTACGTTTGAAAATGTTCTACAAATTTGTATTTAAACATGAAAAAACTACTCTGTTGAAGCATTAAGCAGAAGAAATCAGCCTCAGAGTATCTGGCTGGGCATCTGATGGTTCTACCTGTCAAATGCCATATAGTATCCGGAGTAAAAAACAAAAATGTAATGTAGGATGTTAAGCAGCCAATGTTAATATTTAAAATGATTTTTCTTAATGTTACAAATTAAAACGAAATAAAAGCACCTGTAAATTTTGACATCACTGTTTTTCCCCAGACTGCAAGATAACTTCTTGTGAGTGTCCTAGAAGAGTTTTGAACACAAAATTCATCGTTATAATTGTTTTTAACCAATATGAAGCAATTCCAAGAAAGCATGCTTTTGCTTTGCCTTTGAGACATTGCCCACATAAAACAGAAGGTACTTTGATTCTCAGAATTTTTTTAGAAATCTGGGTAAGAGATGTCAGTACCAGTAGCAGCTAGATTCTGTTCCCAAGCACTGACCTAAGACAGAGCAACCTTGACTCTTCAAGTGTACAGCTCTGCAGGAAGGTTATCAAGACAGTATGTGAACTACGGTAGCTAACGGTGTCCCACTTCGTAGTGGATTAAACCTGCTCATAAAGGTCACGTGAGCCCAGGGAAGACCAGCTGGAACAAAGACGTGTAGTGGAATTAAGAAGGGCCCGAGTTGCTTATTTCTCTCTTCTGTGTCTCTCTCGTCTCTCTTCCTTCGTCAATCTGACCATCCGCAGTCAGCAAGCGAGCAGGAGTACAGAAGATCCATCGGGACTTTCCAACAGGGATCAACCGCCATTCCGGAGCCAGCTGTCCGGTCAAACCTTTTACAACAACGAGTACGGCCAGCTTTCTGAGGAAGCGATGGGAGACTTCTTCTCCGTGCCCAGCGACGTGGACTCAGAGGGCGGGGGCATGGCCTCTTCTAGCTTCTAGAGAGAGGGGCAGAGAGCAGGGAGGGGCCGGCTCAGGCTGACACTGGGGCCTGTTGCTTTCAGTCCACCGCCCCACCCCGTCTCCCCTCGCACCACTGAACTGAGCTCACTGATGCACAACATGCTTTCCAGCCACTGAGTGGCGCACTTATCATCTCAAACAAAACCCTCTCCATCTTATCCATCCCATTTATTTTTATTTTTAACTAACCCAGAGTAAGCTTCTTTCTGATGGTATTTGTAAAAAAAAAACAGTAAAAAGAAAACAAGAAAATGGTGCATCTGTTTCTTATTTTTCCTGGGGTTTTTACATCCATATACAGTATTAAAAAACTAGGACATTGCTTCTAAAGCGATGGTAACCTCTGACCCTCCTATACAGGATTGCTACGTATAGTTTTATTTTTCAGATGCGCAGGTATTCATGTAAGAAAACCTTAACAGTTTATAATTTATTTCCCACATGTTGAAAGGTAGCAGTACTGTCAAGACAAATAAAATCTGTTCACAAAATGCGTGTTATGATATTTCATAATCCCCTACCTTCGGAATTGTACCATGGTTGGGAAGAAAAGGCACAGGCGTCTCGCTCCTAGTTACAGATGCGAGAAGAGGTTGTGCTTGGTTTAGTAGCCATTACAGGAAACAATAGCGGACAATGTTATTACTGGGAAACTGACAGCATTACTAAGAGAGATCAGAGTTGGCTTCCAACACCACAAAAACCAAGAAAGCACCAATATTACGATTCGCCGTGGACTGTACTGTACTGGAAAGGACTGTACGCACTTTGTGGAAAGGTTCATGGTTTATTCCATGCTGGAAAGTAAAAAAAGAAAAAAACATTTTGGTTTCATGTGCAGGATATCTGAGTGACCAGATCGATGAATTGTCTCCCTACAAAAACGAGAGCCGTGAGCAAGCAAAACCCGCAAAGCACGAGGACCACCAGTAACTCATCATCACTGTCGCTTTCAGAAATATCCACCCACCACAACAAAATACTCGGAGACTGTCCGATTGAAAACAAAACTTCTATTAAACATTCAGAACAAAACTTAACACAAGGAGACACAACACTGAGAATGAGACCGAACAAATTCCATTGAGACAAAAAAACACAGCATTTGTAAAAAATAAAACTCAAGTAAGCCATTCAACAGTTTGATTTTGGAAAAAAAAAAGATATGATTTGGAAAATAAAAGTTACAAAAGAAACAAACCTGTTGATTTGTACATTAATTACAGAACACTAGTTTCCTCAAACGCAACATTTAGCAATTGCCGTTCCAGCTGAAAATTCTAGAATACATGACAGTACGGAATTCTTTAGGCAGTGATCTACTTTTTTAAATAAATCATCTCTACAAATGGGACACTGGTGACTGTTGCACATTCCCATACTACATCTACCTAGACTCTTGGAATGTTCCTCCCTTCTTCATTTCACAAAGACTAAAGAGGTGCTGAAATTCTGTCACACTGTACAAACAATGGAGGATTGTCATATGAATTTCCTTTAAAGGCGGCTATGATTAGAGTCTCCCAATCGTTCTGTTGAATGGGAAAGTTCTTGACAAACCACAGACTTACATTAACTTCAAACTATAACAGCTTCATCGCACACTGTTGCATGGATTAAGGTTGTAAATAAGTACTTCAGCACATCCTGGTCCACTCCTGAGTATTGTCAATGTCATATTTTTTTTAGAATTTTCTTTTTCTTTTTTACCAGAACCCTGGGTGTGACATTGGCTTAATATGTCATTTATTGAGAGGTTTATAGAGATGTGTGACGAAAAGTGCAAAAAAGCTTTAAAAATACTGAGACTTAGTGTTCACGAGTACAATGGCACAGATTTGGTTATAGAAAGAAAACACGTCTGACATTTTAGAGGGTGCACCAGAGAAATACTGAGGCTCATATTGTGCATTAGTCTGTGTTCATGGATTACTGCAGTTCTAACTGGGTTTCTCCACTGTAAATGCAATGCAATTGACTCCCAAGTGGTTTGAAGGTAAGAACTACTTAATTAAAAAATGTCTCCAATTGAGACTATACCCTTTTCAAACAAAAGTACACACAACAGATGGTGCACTGCACCTTTGCTATCGTCGGGACTTGGAACTGCCGATACATGGATTTGAACTAACAACTTAATCACGACGAACAGCTGATTACAACATGATCACCCACTACATTTGACCTGTAGTCAAACAGGCCATTTCCCAACTAATACGTCTGAAGGACACTGGCATTATAAATTCACGCATTAATGTTGTGGCACAACACTGTTGTTACTTGGATCGGCTGCACATGTGTAAACGTAAATGACGTGCATCTTTTCAGTTATTACGCCTGGGTAGTATAGGCTAGGTTTCCTTCCCTAAGTTATAAAAAGAATGGTGTCCATTTTGTTTTTCAGCTCAAGTCACTTGTTAACAGCAGTGCTTGGATAAAGGCACAGAAATACTTATCCAGTTGATCAGCAAACTGTAAGGGTGTGTGTTCCCATATCATATCAAAGAGTTATCATCTTTATGGACTGTGTATAAAAGTCTATTGCCCTTTTAATCACATTCTGTATAAACAGTGTAGAAAAGGGTTAACTGAATAATGCTACTACAGGAAACTCATGAGGGTTTAACAGAAAGCTGTTTAAATTTCAGGCAGTAGGAAGATATTGATTTGGCATCGTGTGATCATAAACATTCTCCGATTAAGTGATTGAGGCTGGGTGTTGTGGAATCTGGTGTTCTTTTCTCCTGTCTTCTACCTTCTTTTTTGGTATAGGCTCAAGTACATTTAAACACGCACAGTACTCTGCTCCTTCGACTTGTATTTCTCAGAGTTGTAAAGGTTGTGTAATGTAACCTGCCTTGTGGGCAAAAGCATTTTTGCTTTTCTTAAAACAATACCGCATTTTTGTTATGTATGTAATGAACATGATTTTCTCTTTCACAAGTGAGATGTCACACATATGCCAATGCAACTACAGCAACTTAGTGCCCAAGCATCCTCGGTGTCACATTTAGATCTACAGTACCAGGTACCACCCACATTAAAATAGCCTGCATGTAAAATGCTGGATTTGTCCTGATTACCCTACAGTACTCTTAACACCTGTGCCTCTCAGTGTGACTGTCTGCATCTGGCCCTGCATTAGCTCATTTCCAGTTCACCAGACACTGGTGCCATTGCCTCTGATCCATTTTGCCCTTGATATGTTGTCAAAAGTTGTGTCTTGTAGCTGAGCTCTACAGCTTGCGGTCAGCTCCTCTTTAGAAGGGAATGAAGTCAGTAACAACAATGGGCATCTGGAGTGATGCCTGTGGCCTTGTCTGACTGTAGTGCACGGGCACTCATCTCTGAGCGTGGAGCGAGACCAACAGCGAAATACAACAACGACACAAAACTACCACTTTAAAAAAATATAAAACCCGTGAGGCTCTTTGCTCTTATTTTGTCGGGGGAATAGAAACGGACAGGTTGGGAAACTGGCTCTGCTCGGTCCCAGTGGCGTGAAAACTAGCGGTCATCTCTTTGTGTTGAGTTTGTGGGCGCCCCCTGCAGGGCACTCGTGGCACTGCTGCGGACTCAGGACATCTTTCCCAGCTGGACCTTCTTCCAGGCCTCAGAGGCAGTGAATATGCAGGAGTCAATGATGCCGGCCACCGTGAACGTCCCTCCAATGATGGCACAGATCTGCAAGAGGAGCACCTTCCGTCAGTCATTTGCAGCCGATATCTTCGAGTAAGAGCGCTCATGAAGCCTGCCGCTGTGTAAGAGACCTCCTAAACTCATTAACGCTACACTGTGTATTTGAAAGGCATCACATTTAACTGGCCTGTTAAGAGACGCTCATTGACCTGCAAGACGGCAGGAAAATCCACCTGAGATGTCCAGAGGCACCGGTCACCGTGGCAACAGTGACACAAGCCACCAGTGCTGGGAAACAACCAATCAGGAGGTGCCACATCATCAGATGCTTGAAACATACTGCGGCAGGAAATCGTCTGTTCTTTCCACCTTGACAGCTCTGTCTCCAAACAAGGTCACGCTGTACAAAGCGAACATTGCACAGGTCCTGGAATGTTTTTTGGGGGGGAAATTATTGTACTGATATTGAGCTCTGAGAAAAGAGAAGATGAACATCCACAACGTTTAAATGTGGCAAAAGAGAACATCTTTTAAAGTATTTGGTTTAAGGCTGAAAAGCGGACGCACGATAATGTTCTTCATAACACTAACTGAGCATTGTCTAGCTTTTTTTAATTAAAAACTGTATTTAAAAAGTTCGACAGTGCATTTAACCTGCAAGGTGCCTTTTGCTTGCATGTGTGGGGGGACCTGAAATCTTACCCAGGCAGGGGGGGAACAAAAGATAAGACAAGACAAGCCGTCTCTTGTCTTTTCCCTGAAGGTGCTCATTGGCTAACTCGTCGGTGTGTGCTCAGTGGAAGGCAGGGGGCCGTGCTGACCTCTGGGGGCCCCGGGTCCCGTGCGCACACGGCAGGACTCACCGTGGTGACGAAGCGATAGAAGGGCTGCCTCCTCTCGGTGTACTTCACCGTGATGGGGCTCAAGTCGTAGCGGAACCAGATCGCAGGGATGATGCGCCCGGTGTGACTATAAGCCACATATTCCTGCCGGAGAGGGACAGCTCCAGTGATCCGTGCCAAGTGGGAAAGAGCGCAGCCCCCCTCGTATACGCCAAGCAGCGCTAGTACCTCCGAGCAGGCGTTTCACTTCTTAGCAACATGCCATTTTTATTCCAAACCAGCGTACAAGTGACTCCACACGCAGCCCACCACCTTAGACAGCGTCCCATTCATGTTTAATAAAAGTTTTTTTTTATTTTTAATTGGAATAATTGCTAGGTTATTTTTTTTAAAGACTTTTCTAAGATTTACATATAAAGCCTCACAATGGGGTAACCACTTAATGGAGTGTTTAAAAGACACCACTGTCCGTTTGACCTCGGCATCAGTGGATGACTATTACCTTATTGGCTACTGTGTACTGGTAAGAGAACCTCTGTTTTCCCCCCATGTCTTCATACACAGTGGGAACAATCTTTAAGATGTAATCATGAGATGCCAGTGCTGCAAAGAGAAAAGAACAAGGAGCAGATTAAAGGAGACACAGTTGACTTTTGATGTCACGCTACTACTGCATTTAAGAGACTGCAGTAGAAAGAGACTGCACACAGAGGGTTAACAAACCACGTCAATACCTTCTAGTTTACACTTAAAGGTCACTGTGTAATGTAATTCATCGTTGCTTGGTCGAGTACAGGGTCACCGTGAACCAGAGCCTGACCTGGCAAACAATGGATACAAAGCAGGATACGTGCCAGTCCAAAGCAGGGCACACAGACACACATGCACACAGCGGGCAATTTAGAAACACCCATTAGCCTCAACTGCATGGTCTTGGCGTAATGGGAGGAAACTGGAGTAGCAGGCTAAAAACCCCGCAGATACATGGAGAACATACGGACTCCACACATAAGTCATCCCGATCCAGAGTCGAATCCAGGAACCAAGAGCTGTGAAGCAGCATTGATAACCTCCCAGCCACACTCATTGATTAGTAACAAATAAAATGGCATCCATTTAATGGACATTTGCTCCTTCCACACTGCACCTTTCTCAAGGAGAAGAGCAATGCTTTTGTGCGTCTTTTACGAATAGCAGAGCCTGGGAAACCACCAGCTGACAAAATAAACCCTACAGACTCATCCACATAAACCCCTCATACCTGTGATGAATCGAACTCCTGAGCTGTAACCACTAAATGACTCATGAGACCTTGACTAATATGACCGTTTCACACATTGCACAAATGTAGCCACAAATATAACCATTTCTGCTAAAAGAAGAACAAAGCGTGCGCATTCTCCAGCACACAACCCTGTCCTAAGCAGAGTTTAGGCAGTCTGCACCCAGTGTTGCTGATCCAGACACTAATTCATAACAGAAGTACCTCCACTTGATAAGCCCCAGTTTGTTCAAAACGAGAGCTGTGGTTTCTGTCCCTGCATTGGATGGAGAAACTACAGGATTTGCACTTTTTACGTACGATTAGAATCCAGTCTGTTTGCTCCTCCTAGTGCATTGAAAGCACCTTGGACTTTTTCGACCTACAATGGAAAACAAACACAGGTTAAAAGAAAAAAAACTCAATCTGGCATTTATCTTACCAACCCAGAAAAAAGAAGTATTTACACAAATTCAGTAGTTTTTATGAAGGTGAGTTGAACATTCACAGAGGGACTGTGCAAAATGTGTTAATTTTTTTGCTGTCTAGATTTGAAAAGCTAGAGGTTATGCAGATTTAGAAACACTAAAATACAATTTAGCTTTCCTATGGACACCTTTTCTTTAATACCTTACATTATTTCAGGCAGAGTTTGAAAACAGCACTTTAATTACAGATTTGTCAATATCGCAGGTTTCTGAGTGTTAACAATATTATAAGAAATTCATCCCAATAAATTATTTCCCCTGTAACTCAACACTTTGGTCCAGTTTCACACAGAAGTTGGTCACCTGTAGCTTGTCCCCAAAAGCCAGCTTGTGAATGATATGGGTCATATCAGGATTCTGTGGCTGGGCAGTGGCACTGTGTGTAGATACATGAAAGTTGCCAGGCACCTGTTAGAGACACCAAACACAAGCATTAGACATAGCACATACAGTTGCTTTGTGTAGGCAAGTCAACACTATTGACAGAGGCTTCAAATTCATTATTAACGTTCCAAACATACATCGTTGGGCATCAGGTGACGTGTCGTGTGTCACTGAGCGTCCAGACGTGTTTTCTTGCTTGTGGCAATGGGGATTCCACACACTTACTCCAATACCAATCATGCGAGGCTCTGACAATCTGAACATCCTTTGAAAACACTCCTTTTGATTCTCCATAGCCAGGGCCTTGACTTTACCTTGTTGATGCTGAATTTCCCCTCGAACCTGCAGCCCAGACCACTGTTCAGAGGGATCTTCATGGAGTTGTCAATATGGCCCACCTCGTGTCTGCCCATTTCATCCTGGATATCCAGCCCAACGACTTCAAGAAGAAACACAAAGGAAAAAAGGAGAAAAGCAGAAAAACCAATGAGACTGGGTCTGCCCCTAGAAAAAACTGTCCCTCTTCAGCCACAGCGGTATCCTGACGCCTTGTGCACCTCTGACATCAGGAGACACGGACAGACATCAGAAACAGTTGTATTTACAGAGAAGCATTTTTCAGAGTAACTCAGGTATACTTTGATATCAGCTCTGCAAGAAGGAATGGAATCATTCAGTAAGAAATACAAACAGCCAGAGCCTACAAAATTCATTTCAAAATAATCAAAAGGAAGTTAAACAGCATTAGACTCTATTGAGATTTCTCTAGCAAGTTCTCAAGTTACCTGCCCTGGCTACACAATATCCACTACCAGCAGATTGATTTCATTTTCAGCTTTTAAAAACCTTTAGTTAAGCAGGAAAGTCAATTGAGAAATTCTTATTTGCAGTGACGTCCTGCAGAAGGCAGAACATTTCCTGAGGGGGTTACCTAAGGGATCCACAGTAAAGTCCCACCCAGGATTTGAACCCTCAACCCTCCAGTCTGGAGTAAAGAGATCCTAGCCACTGCTCCAAAAAAGTGAACGCTGCATGTTTTGAACTGAACCGTTTCTACAGCCCAGAAAGCTTCTTGTTGTTGGCTTTTGACAAATGCACAGATTTTCAGACAAAGAGACACTCTTAACTGTATGAAGTACAACTTTTATACATCTTCCAAATATTCAATATTACAATATGATGACAATGACGACATGACAACATTTTATATAGCGCCTTTAAAGGTGGCTTCTCAAAGCGCTTTACAGGATGACAATAACAATAAATAAGAAGACTACAACAATAAATAAGAAGACTACAACAATAAATAAGAAGATTTCACAAGATAAGACACAATTACAACAATACATCAATAACAATAGAGGAGACCGTGGAAGGTGGTACTAAGAAGAGCAAAGGGGGGAAGAATGGAACCAGTTAAGTAAAGGCTTTTCTGAAGAAGAAGGTATTGAGTCTGGATTTGAAGGAGTTTAGAGGAGGTGACTCTTGGATATCCTTGGGCAAAGAGTTCCAGAGCTTGGGGGCATAGCAGGAGAAGGCCCTGTCGCCCATACAATGTAGACGGGGGACAGTGCTTGGGGGACAGTAAGGAGGGCAGAATTTGAAGAGCGGAGGTTGCGAGGTGGGGAGTAGGGCGATAAAAGTTCAGACAGGTATTGAGGTGCCAAGCCATATATTAGAGTAATGGCTGGAATCTGGTAACCTAGCCTTGTGCTGCCTGTATCAAAAGGTATTTTAAAAAAACAAAGCTGATTTGTATTAGCACCTGTCCATCTACTTTCCTCCCACAATGTGTCAAGAGAAGAAGTAATAAACTTCAAAGGACATGACAAAACTGTCCTAAAGTGTGAAAGAAACCAAATAAGATCACATAACACAGGAAGCTGTGCTGTACAGAAGTGTTGGGAAAGCCCAGCAGTTTGTCTGCTGACCAGGCCCAACATGGCATTACTCTATGTATTGAGCTCAATAAAGGAAAGCACACAAGGCAAGAATTGCCCACACCAGGCACCCAGACACAACAAAACAGAAAACGGACGACTCAGTAACCACTTTGTCAAGGCTCATGCAAAGTGCTATTTCTGGCACCCTGGTGGCATAAAAAGCCTCTGCTCTGATGATGGAAAGTCAATAACCTCTTGTATCACTTATTACTGTACATTCAAAAGGATGCCAGAGCCTGAAAGGCAATTCATCTCAGTTACAGCAAGGTCATTTCTATTTTTGTCTATCTTCCAGGCTCAGAATAAAAAAAAAAACAATCTTATCTTACTTCCTGTAAAAAAAAAGTGATTAATGTGTGTAAAAGAGACAAGGTTTCCCTGTTCTAAATCAATGACGCATTATTCATTCAGATTGTTTTCCAATGAAGTAATTAAGATGCATATATTATCTTCATAAATAGGGTTCTTCTCATGCACTGAAGCATGCTTTAGCAAACTGTTAAATGTATACAAAAGCAAGATTAAGAAAAAGGTTGTATCTTTCCGATACACTTTGTATTTTTAGACATCTGTGCAATAGATTTATTTTCCTTATAGGCATGGTTTACTCTGAAGCACAGAAACTCACAGTGAAGTTGACATTTAAAATGAACCAAGTTCTGGCCTCAACCCTAAAGTAACAGTCACTTAGTCTAACAAAGTATTAGTTAATGGCATAAGAATAATTACCTTCTGCCCTTACAGTAAATTAAACGTGATGCCTGCGTCTCACAAAAACTATTGCTCCAAAAAACAGGAAAAAATCCTGTGGAAAATTCATCATTCCTGATTTCCTTATCCCTCAATTGAGACAATCCTAAAAGTGAGCAGATTAAATAACGACCAACAAGTAACCATATACACCTTTTGCTATATACATTGTTTCTCTCTTGTCTGTTCTACATCTAAGGATTTTCTTTGGATTTTCTCCTCTTCCACTCTAGCTTAGATGGTTTTAAACAGAACTAAGATATCCTACCCAAAGGTGTAGGACTGAGGGATCCCACTGATGTCTATGGGGATGTTGGCCCAAAGCTGTAATCACCACTGGAGAGAAACCTGCTGGGAGCAGTCTCTCATAATCTGGTGAAGCAGTGAATTAAATGTGGCAAACCTCACATTTCCTTTTACAAACGAAGCAGTCAATACTTCTCAGTACTTACACGTGCACACATTCCCCTGCGTGTCATACATCTTCAAAATGGTATATCACCCCACACAGGAGGGGAAAGTTTAATTTCCTTGAGCTGAGCAGGTGATCAGACTTCAGTCCCGCACTACAGGAAAACAGGTGAAGACTCAAACTTACACCCTCTGGCCTGCCCGGTGAAATAACGTAACTGGCACAAACGGACGCTTGTACTGTTTCTTTCTGAGGGAAACGGTCAGGGAAAAGAGAAATCATCCTCCCGCTGGAAGGGCCCTGCCTGGGCGTAATCATTTTACTGTAAAGAGTGACTAAAGCAGTTTCTCAGCATTAGTCACTGTACAAATAATTGCAAAAAATCGTATAATTCATCCCTTTCCTGACTGAATATTTATTAAAGGAGCATGGCATTTATTTCATGGACAGGACTGTCGTATGAATTAGACAACTGAACTGCAAACAGGATTTTCTCTTTATTTTCTTTTAACATTTCATTGTCACACTTGTATAACCAACAAAGTATCATTTTATTCGGATACCTCGATTTATGCGCACTCATTTGATATTATGCCACAGTTACACAGAACAATGCAGGCATGGATGTCTGGAACTTTCAGTCCTTCAGTATTTCCAAGTCACAGAATTTCTACAGTTCACGACCCATCCTACTCATTTGTTTTGTAAGAAAACACGTTTAGATCACCAACATAATCACCACAATCTTGCAACAACTCAGTCTGCAGTAACATCTATCTGTGGTTATACTCGACAATATTACAACAAGGACTGAGTTATTCCCACACTCAGGGGACTGTAGCAGACAGGACATCACTGCACTAGGCTTTCGGACAGCCCCATGCGTCTGTGAACATAGCTATAATGTACGCAAGTTTGCTTTGCTGTGACGAAACTCACAATACTGATGAAAGTTCACGCCATTTCACTTCCATCTGGTTTTGTGGACAGACTGTCATGCAGCTTTCTACATGGATGGGATAACGACACTGAGGTCAAACCCTGAACAACAGGTCTGGAACACAAACCTGCCCTGCCTGTGCGCAATGGCTCCTTGTAAATCCACAATTATTGTTTATTTCAAAATTAAACCTTAAGATTTTACAGCATAGGTAACTGAAGACAGAGGACTAAGACCCTGTCCTGTGGTTGGGTTGTGTTAAGAGTGAAAGCAGCAGGCAGGTCAGCACTTGACCAAAAGATGCACTTCCTTTACAGATTTCAAGGGAAGCTATTAGCAAATAATGAAACTCCCACATTAGGCTGGTTTACTACTTTCACAAACTTAAAATAAGGAACTACTTCTCATTTTTCCTCATACATTTCTATAAGTGTGGTTTAAAATTTTAAGAACCCCTAGGATGTGAAAAAAATTAATTCTAACTTATACGCTCACCACACTATCACTATCAAGAAACATTCATGCATGTTCATTTCACATATTACCCATTATGATCTGTCACAAAGTTTAGTTTCGAGGCTGAGTAACAGTTAAGAAATGAGACAGTGTTTACTTCTGCCCCTGGCACACAGCACTGAACCCTGCCTTTGATTTAACAGCACTGGACTGAGCGCAGCTTTGTATGTGGAATTTCTGAGTGATGATGCGGCAAAGAAAAAAACTGAAATCCATCAGGAACCACAAGTAGATGGGACCTGAGAAACCAGCGATCATTGATCATTGATCATTGGTCTTTTATTGGGAAAAGATCTCAGCTCTTTTATCTGAGGCTCCTGAAAAAACTACAAGTCCATAACTTGTAAAACTGCCATAGTATGTCCATCTTTTTTTAAAACGCAAGATGAAGATCCTTTAGTTTTTTTCAGGTTTGGATGGAGACACTCACAGATGTTCACAATACACACCGGAAGCAAGTTTGAGGTTATGTATATGTAGGATATGTAGAAATTTACATGGTAGGTTTCATTCCATCCATAACCTCCAAATTCATAAGCACAGAATTAAGCATGTGGAAAAAAAAAATCAACCTTTTGCCATTTTAAAGCAAAAGTGGGCTATTCTTCTATTAACAGTACATTAAACCAGACTTTAAACCAGAACTGTTTTATTTTAGGACTGATTCACAATACAAAATAAAAACCAGCAATACAATTGTATAAGCAATACATGTATTTAGGCGTTTAGAGAAAAGAGATGTATTTTATATATATACTCACGATCACAGTTCAAGTTTGGCAAACTGATGTTTAAACTCACATCTATCTTCCCTCCACTGTCCTTATCTGGGTCGTCCACATACAGTTCATTTACTCTGTGGAAAACAGAAATGTCAAATAAACTTACTGAGTCACTGAAACTCACACAAAATGTGCTTAAGACCATGTCATACAAAAACTCCAAGAATTCAGAGAACATGTTTAATTGTTAACTGAAACAATCAGTTTTTCTGCATAACGTTTTGCCCTACAGTTCAAGATCCTTTCAAAACCCCAAGATCTTCTGTGTTTGACTTTGGTTCTTCCTATATTTTCTCCATAACAGGATCAATGCTTTCCCTAGAAAACACAGAAGGTGTTTTTAAATGGAGATACGTGGACCTCTTTGGCTTTCTATGCAATATCTTGCTCTAGAAAACAATGGCACAGCAATTAGGGCAGTAGCTAGGCTCATTGAGTGAGGATTCAGGAGTAAACTACACATCTCTTCACTTTTATCATGTAAAAGTTTGAGTTTAGGGCTTTTGAATCATTTTGAAACTGAAGGTTGTGGTTTCAAATCCTGGAAGGTGTATTACTATTGTACCACTGACCAAGGGGATTTCTCCAGGAAAATGCCCTGCTGGATAAATGGACAATAAATGAAAATCACTTTAGATGAAAACATCAGGCAAATAAATCAATATGTCATCTATCCATTGTTTTTCAATAACCACCATTGCAAAGCAGGGCTGGAGCCTAATCCTGCGCGCACACACACACACACACGGGACAAATTAGAGATGGCAACCTTTGAGGCTGAGGTGAGAGGAAACTGGAATACTCACAGAACGAGAGCGCTGCTGGGCAGCACAAAGTGAAACTGGCCCTGCCACAGTACATCTCACCAGGTCATCAGGAAGGCCACAGAGAAATAGCTTTCTTTACGATCAGTTAAATGTTTTATACACCGAAATGAGTGTCCAATCATGAGGTAAATCGATTTCCTGACGGAGCATCACAAAATAAAGAATGGCTCGTTGCCTCATACAGTAGTAATTACATTAGCAATGTGTTCCAGAGTCTTGTCACTACTGAGATCACTGCTTAACATGCCATTAATATCCTCACTCTTGAGTATTCTTATTGTTAATTGCTGGCACAGTAAATAAGCACATAGCGTAACGTGGGGTGTATCTTTCTGTACTGTGCCAAATTACATTTTAGAAAAGCCTTTAAACAAAATGTTTGCATATTTCACATACAGTGAAACTATAAACTATGCCCAGTTGTATACATAATGGGGTATATACAGCCATTTTGTTTGCATATTTGAATCATCTTATTTTAATGTTTCAATGAATTAAGCTGCTATTTTAAAGAAGGCACAGTAATAAACTGGGTACAGACAATGTCGATGTGAATCAATAACACAAAAATAAATCCAGTTTCTTCTGTGAAAATGTGCACTCAGTATCTATGTAGGGCGAAACAGAAAAGTCCTGACAAGCAGTTGAAACTCTAATTGGGCCAGAACTCATCTTGGTTTCCATGGAGTTAAGTGGACTGGAGAGCATGTGATCCCCCTGGATGTGACACTGGTTTATCACAGGTATTTAACTCCTAGTAATGCTGTTCCTTAATCACATAGCTGGGTGGACGAGCACCCCTGGGACACAGTCCCTCAACAGCAGTATCTGCAGGGAGGACTCAAGCCCACAACCAAGCAGATATGAGCCTAGAAACATACCAGTGCTGCCTCAATATCTATGTACCAGCGCTTAAATACAGCTCAAACCACTAACCAGTCTAATAGAAGTGTCAAGTTTCAAATTAACCCCAACTCTTTGATGTTGGAACTGCCTAACCTAAATATTTGCATGGAACAAAATGGAATGTATTGGCAACAGCTCCACCTGGGAGATCTTAAAAGTTTGCTTCCCATAAACACAGCAACCTCACACAGAAAAGGTCCAAGAAAAGCTATTTCTTTTAGCGTATCCAAACCCTCTTACACAGATGGAAAAAACAAGCAAGCATGAGTATCTTTTGAAGCTTTTGCAAAGACTATTTTTAAACCTAAAAATTAAACAAGAGCTTGACTTATTAGAGCCACATTCGTCTTCCTGTGATCGTGCACTGTGAGTACATAATGACGACCAGGGAAGTGGCATTCAGATTGAACAGCAGCCCAGGCAGCAGTGTGTGAAACCAGAAGTAACAGAACCTTGCAGATGAAAAGGCTCAGATAACACAGTACAGATCTGACTTGAAGGACAATCAGTGCTCTTTCTCTGTTAACTGTTCCAAAATGCTGAAGACAGGAAGACGAATTTCTACATTTCATAATGTAGAAAAGTGCTCAAAAACAGTAGCATGATTGTTTAGTTTTTAAGATATTGAAAGCAAATAATAACATATGTAATAATATATGTCCAAAACACCCAAGACAAATAAGTTTGCAGGAACAAGACTTTGTGTACCCTATAGGGCCAGATGCAGCTGCTAAATTGCACCTGGGATATTTACATTGCGAGCGCAGGAAAGCTGCTCAGTTCTACTGCATTGGTGTGTGGGATGTTGACTTTAATCCAGCGGGGAGCTGTATCTATACTCACACATGCACGTACATACACTCACACGCCTGACTGGGTAAGCACTGAACTGTTAATGGCACGTGGCCCGAGTTATACATACATTTCTGTGGCTATGAATCCTGTGAGCTCAGACAGGAACAGAAAGAGCATGAAGACACAGCAGCAGATTGAAACTGGGGAGGAGAGGAAAAAAAAAACACATATTAAATTTAAGACACAAATTCAGCAGTCTCAGTCTCAGTACCCCATGTTAAAAGGATGGAATTTTTTATCCAGGTATAACTGGATGGTTGCTATGTGTACATTAATGGACCCCTCTGTTACCTTCAGGCTGCCTATCCATTATTGCCGCACTGTGCTGAAAACAAACCATGGTATTCTGCAATACCAAACTGTCAATTTTCCAACTCAGTCACTTGATTCCCCGAAGAGTTTGCAGAAGGAGGGTAATTTACTTCATAATGACCTTCTACCCCCAGAAATATTGTTCTCTGCTGGAGCAGCACTAGGAGGTACATGAAGAATTTCTAGATAACTTTGGTGACGTAACTGCTATGAGCTAAGACCACTGAAAAAAAGAACTGAAATGATACACTGTTACAGAAAGACCCCCCTTCTTCTTCATAATTCTGTGATCAGGCAATAGCTAATTTCCCTAAAACAACTCCCTGACTCATGAGTCGGGTTGTAAGGCATGCAGTGCATTACCTACACCTACTGTATAATTATTACAACACCAGGAATGATCCACTGAAAAACAATGTGAAGGAACATAACTTCCGCTAGGGAACTGCAACACACTTCGTAATCACCTTTCTGAACAGCGATGTCACTCCACAGTCATCAAATGCAGGGCTGTGCCAACAAAGATCTCAGAAGACTACAGCAAAATGAAATTAACAAGGTCCATAAAAAGTCAAAATGTGAGCAAAGCAAAACCAGTGCAAGCTTCATTGCAGGGCAAAACCAGTTCTTAAATAAAAACTGTGTGTGTGAAGTTTAAAGAACAGAGATGACTCATGTTGTTTAAAGCTTCATTTAGTTGCTGAAGGAAGAAGGAACAGACACTGTCAAAGCAGTGTGTTTCCAGATGTAAGCATTCCACTGAGGCCGATGGTGTTGTAAGCAGTTTACTTTAGCAGAACTCAGTATGAATATGTGCACAAAGGAGAACAGAGTGTCCGAGGGCCAGGCTTACAGAGCAGAGACACGGTGTTACGACTTAAACAATGCCTGGCATCCTTCTTAAAGAAAAGCGATGAAGAAAGACTGAAACAAGCCACAATTTTCAATTTATACTCATGCATCTGTTGACTGGATCACAGTAATAAGTTCATCGCCCCCTGCATTCTCAAACTGTCTCTCCTCAACATTGCCTAAGGCCCTTCTTAAGATGACTGGTTCTTATATCACTGATGATTGGAGGTTAAGGTGCTCATCCTCACATTTATCGATCACACAAGGATGGAGAGCAACCAGAAGAGTGTGTTGTTATTCTGAAAGATCAAGGGAATTTAATCGTGGATAAGTCTGGAAAAGGACTGATCAAATCAAACCAGGGGACAAATCAGCAACAACAGAAGCTCCCAGGAACACAAGTGGATGTTATATGAGAACTATTCAGTACAGAACACAGGAGACAGTATTACACGGAGGACTACATACAGGAACCAGCTACTGTTGTAGCTGGAATATTTTATGGAATGTGGATGGAATTCTTAGATAGTTAAACTACAAACTGAACAAGATGGGCCAAGTGGTCTCCTCTTAGTTGTAACCTTTCTTTCCTAAACCAGCTAGAGAGGATTATTTTCTGTCTTTATTAACTGTAACGAAGTATGGTTCCTGAGCTGAAGTATGTGAAAATCCTTACTAGCCATCTCTGCAATTTGAGCCATGATCCCACTAACCTTTCTGCTCATGTCCTTTCAGCGATTCCAGGACATGATTCCGAAAGACATCAGAAGCCAAGATTTACCTAAAACTGGAGAGGCAGCTTCCACCTCCTCTCAACAAGGAACACTTTCTCTTGCAAATCTCTCCATTCTCTTACAAGTTTCAGCTCTTCACACCTCTCCCTCAAATCTCCTTGGGTCTGGACACCCTTTCTCACCTGCTCTGTTTGGCTCCATAGCACCGCTCCACTGTCTCCTTGAAGAATCACCACGCATTTCTTTTTACTTTTCCACATGGAACTAAGCTCTGCTTGTTCCTTTCCATTTTTCACACACATACTGGGAAACAGCCATCAGGGCTATCAGCATCTGAAAGCAACCTGGTACGCAGTGCCAACGACTGCTTCCTTACTCGACTTGGCAGAACACATACTACAGGGGAATGCTTTGAAGGATGCTTTTAATCTTTACAAGTGTCCCAAACAAAGGTTTAGAATGGTGGGAAAGTAAATTACAAAGAAATGGAGAGTTACAGAAACACGAAACAGAGCAGGATAAATATGGGACAGAAAACACCTGGCACGTTCACGGCTTCTGTTTGAGGCTCAAAACAGATTCATCGCAAGAGTCAGTAAATCAAAGGCTATAATTTAAATCGAGGGATGTTGTTAAAATCATGCACAATGCACTAATACGTCAACATTTACAATTAATGTAAAATCATGGTCAATGCTACAAAACTATGTATAGTTACCACCTGCTTTATTGATCATTCACTTGTTGGACAAGTGCTGTAAAGCTATTAGAAAATGGAGTTCGACTGACGACTAGAATACTGGAATTGATCTCGGATCAAATTTGTTCAGTCTTTCCTTTGTAACGGTTGGTCCACAATGTCTAGAGCTGTCCCTCTCCTGCCCTGCTCTGCTCTGTGCCAATGTGAGTGGCCGTCTCAGACTTGGAGGAACAGGGCAAGTGACTTGAGGATTAACACGACATTATAAACTACGTTTGCTGCATTGGGAAATGTACAGCCCACCCCGGTGAAATGTGAAAACGATAAGTAAAAATTATCAATCTTACTCAAAAGAGCAAAATACAAAATATATTTTATATGATACAATCTATGAAGTCTCAAGGACTGTAACAAAGACTTACATATTAAGTTTCTAAAATATACCGCCAAACCCTAACTGAAGTATATTTAAAAATAATAACTACTATATTAATAAAACATTCCAGTAACAAGCAGCAAACCCTCCATAAACACACACACACTCCTTCTCATGAAAGGCAAATGGCAAACTGAGTGTTTAGAATGTAACCGGTCTTAAATTGTGTTGCTGCCAGGTTTCCCCACCTCTGACCCCCACTGGTCTGGCAACTCACTGACCATTAAAGACTACCGACACACCTGCAGGACTGCAGCCTCTTTGTGACGGTTCCCCTGGGAACACACTCGAACGCTGGTCTGAAACACTGTTCTCTAGGATATTGTCACTCACATTTGCCAACATGCCATTTTTTGCATATTTTGAGGGCTGTAAAGTAGGGTAAATCTACAAATTACATTATAGTATATTACGGTAATTTTTCCATTTCTGGTTTCGTAATATCTGGGTCATCCTCAGGGTGGGGCTGTTTCTACAGCTGCCAGATACACAGGCCACTCCCATGCAATTGTAGGAGGTACAGAAACTTGAGACTCATCCAGTGAGGAAGAGCTGGTGACCGTTAGCTGACTCAAGACAGAGTTAAACCCCTGTGCTTGCAACAGCACAGGACATTGATGCGAATGACAATGACCAAGAGCTCTGTGTCACAGAGTTCTTAATGAATAATCAATCTGTTACCGCTAAGAGTTGAGACAAAGTAGCAGCTGGAAAGGGGCCATTTTTGTACTTCCATTGAGCGAAGATGGCATTAAAAGTAATGAGGTCACTAAGACAGCAGTAACTCCTACATTTACCATTCTGACAGTGTAGCATTTAAACAGAAAAACATAGATCAGAGTGCCTGCATTAGGGAGTATGTTCAGGCAGGGTGGGGACACACTGCTCTGGCACAACACTTACTGAAGGCTCCTGTGTATGTTGGCTGTGTCAGGTCCTTGGGCACCTTCCTGTAGATGTCAAATCTGTGGGGGCACACGAAAGACAAAAGACAGAAAGTAAACAGAGTGCCTGCGAGCAAGCCGTGTGTAAAAGCACACCGTGTTCCCAGTGAAGCACGGCCATATTACTGTAGTGCTGTGGAATGTTCAGTCTGGCAAAGAGCCACCTGTAGGCCTGGGGCTAAAGAGACAACAACAATCTGTTTCAAGTTAGGTGTGCAGTACATTTCCCCCTAAAAATCCTTCATACTTGTAGAAAGGTGAAGAGAAATTTCCCCAAAAGGAAGTATGAGCATATTAGTATTCCATCCATCAGTTATGACTAGTTAATTTATTCTGTCATTTTTAACCAAAAGCAACAATCATTTGCACCCATTGACACCCAGCTGGGTGTTCTACTGTTTTTACTGCAGCAGTCCGAGTGAAGTGTTTTGTTCAAGGGGGCAGCTGCAGTGTCTCACCCAGGAATCGAATCCATACCCTTTCAGTGGCGGACCCGAAGCCCTGGCTACTGCAGCCCACACTGACATGGTCAGAGAGGATTCTACTCTTAGTGCAACACCAAATGGAACCGTCTGCCGTCTTCCATCTTCCATTGCAGTCATCTTAAGCAATAGACCAAGGGCAAACACCCTAGGCTTTGTCATCATACAGCTTTAGATGACCACTGAACATATGGCAACACTTACTCAACCTTTTCCACCACACAAAAGAACAGAACGCACTGTTACTGAGGGATTGAAAAGGACTCATATTTCTCAATCTACCCCCTTTGCATTTACTGTGGAAAAACATTTTCTCTGGTCAGCTTGAATTAGTTTCCTCCTTCCCATGTAAAATATCATGATTTGTCCCAGAACAACACTTCAAACTTTTTAGCAACAGATAGGATGTTTTCAATGTTGCTGTGAACTGAAGTCAGCAATTGTCTTTTTATGGCAGTGTAGAGTTCACTTGCAGGACACAATCTTAAGTTTCCGACACTTAAATGGGTGTCTTAAAATACAAGATTTAGAATTGCACCATACACCGACTTAAAAACAGCAACAAATGAAGAACTTCCAAAAAATGAGCACAGCTGACTTCATATAAAAAAAGACTCAAGCCCCATACAGTTTAATCATCCGGCAAAAATAAAGTCAAGGGAATAAATGACAAAAGACAAAACTGCCAAATATATCCTTTTTGTTTTGCAATTGTTCTAATGGCTCAACTGCAGAACTATTTAATCCCCACACACTGCTGCTTTTTCTAAGCCTTCCCTTTTTTGGCCTGAACTCTCTTCTCCAGAACCTTATACTCCCTCCTGATCCCAAACATCCACATCTGTTCAGATTCCTTCCACTACACTAATCCAGGCTGACGCAAGGCGAAGACGGAGAGGAAGCAGGGAGACTTCCTGTCCAAGCACACACCCCCGCTGTGCGTCTCAAAACAAGCCCCCCTCTCCTTCGCGCAGGTTGGATTAGCCTGTTCTCATGAGCGCTGGGAAACGGAAGACACAGCCCTCTAGCCCTCTGTACTCTGCTCACCAAGTTGCAGCACACATTTGAGAACAGACGGGCAGTTTAATCTACTTTTTACTCAAATTGGAAATGCCAGGTATTTTTAGCAGTTTTTGAATATCGCATTTGCATGGTTCCACAAAGCCGATGTTCGTAGCCATCCAGTGTCTCCAACTGTGAACGTGTACAGCTCCGGTCCTTAAATACCCCAGGGTCTTTCATTAAGTTATTCCACTTAAACTGTTAATAAACTAAACAAACGGTCTCCTAAACAGAGTCAATGTAATCAGATTCCCAGGGTCTTAAAACTTTGAGAGACTGCTGTACTACAGCCCTGCTCCAATGTGGACTTCACTAGCTCTAGAGGGAGATGACTGCTCTGGGTGTGAGGGAAGACCTCATTGTTAATACACCCTCATCTTTTGCTTGCCTTCAATACTGTGCGACAGTTTTCATTCTGAATCCAAGTTCACATCTGACTGGGATTCAGTTGGGTACTTTCATTTGCAGTACTTCCTTGGCTGATTTGTTGTTTTTTTTTTGTAGTTTGCATTCCTACATTTCTTTGGGGATATTAATAACAACTAAAGCATTCTGCCTCGAAAAGTTGGGAGGAGTCACCAAATCACTAAGTGAAAGTAGATGTGCCCAGAAAAGACTGGATGAGGGAATAAAATTCTATTCAGTGAGAAAAAGTGCCAAATACATAAATCCATATTTCCTTGGAAGCAATGATAACAAATGAAAAATAAAGGAGGCTGTTCCAGCTTTTCTCCACATCTGAAACTAAGATTCAACACACCAAAAAAAAGTATTATAAAGAGGCAGCAACGTTTCGGGAAACCACGATGCTTCTGAGAGGAAGGCTCTCTGCAGTGGCTTCATATTTACAATGCTAAGGTATCAATATGGCCTCGTCTGTATTCTCCAGTGGTAGTTTAAGAAAATGCTTTAGATAAGATTGTATGAATATGGATTTAATCAATATTCAAATTCTAATTAAAGGTTCTGCAGAAAGTTAATTAAGCAGCTGTCACGACCCAGTTTTCTGTAAAAGTCATTCCAGTACCCCCATATGAGACTTGTTTACATCTGGACATCTGGTCTTAGGCCAAAATAACAGAGATTTTAGCTGCAACTTCCATAACAAAACATAACCCTAACTAGATCACTAAAGCGACTACACAGCTAACCTTTCAATTACAATGAACATTAAACTCATCATTCCATATTTCTTATTAAAATGATTTTTATTTCTTAAATGCTGCCACAACATTTGAATGTCAGATTTTTCCGCTGCTATTCTTACTATAGAGTGGGAAATGCAAATATATTTTTAGCACAGAAACCGGTGATCTTTGTAGTTCTAGGCACAGAGAGAAAACTCCTCAGAACACACTGTTCCCTGCTAGTCCCTGCATAAACAGTGACTGAGCTGCTACTACAAGATAGCCACTCCATTCAGTCATGGAACAGTTTGCTGAAGACCCCAGGCTTATGGAAAAGGAAGCATTGATTTGCTCATCCTGTACAGCTACCTGGACTTACATTCCAAAAGAAAGCACACAGTCACATTTTCTTTATTAAAATACACCAGTTCCTTTCAAAAACTCAGAAATACTTGCCACTCTGTGGTTTTAATACAGTTATAACCAGCACAAATTAATTTTGTAGCTTGTTTTAATTATTTTTTTCCAACTGGAGGAAAACATATACTGTACCACCAGGACTTTTGACGTACCAAATGCATATTGTTTTTTGCTCATTTGTTTTTGTAACATGGAACAGAAGCGTGTTGTTTCTGTGTCTATATTACCATGCACATCTTATGCCACTGTAACATTTTCAAAGAACACTAAGGTGAGAAAAAAAACCCAATGAGCACTTTCAGGTTCAGCTTTTGACGCTGGGTCAAAGTCACAAACTGCAGCTTTCATAAAAGAGCAGGGCATCTCATTAGGAACTGCTTATTGTTACTATGACAATATTTCCCTCTGTAGCCAAGACAACAATTCAGAAATAAACCAGCATGGCCTTATAATGCCAGCTGTAATCCTCAAGCTCTACAAACAGAACCATCACCCACCACACAGCCTCACCACCAACTGTCAGCAAGGGGATATCTCTCTCAGGAGCAAGAGAGAAATGTGCCCGGACACTGCGTGGAAGCTGGATTCAAGGCCACTCTCAAGTCCCCCAGTTGACAAACACAAATCTAAACCACTGACAGGATGACAGGAGGCCCAAAGCAAGTCAATAAATTAATGGGGTTTGGGAGATGTGCAGGATATATGATAACCAATCGAAACCACAGCAGCTGCTTAACAATTGTCCACATAAATTATACATATATACACACACACACACAAACACAGCTATGACAAAATAGCAATGCAAAAAGTAATATCAGTGTCAACCATGCAAGAGCTCTGACAGAGACACCCGCTGACAAGGGTGGTATTTTTACACACCAAGCTCACTGAGCAAACTAGGAACGTCCTTCCCTTTGAGTGGCAGGTCATTTCAACACAGTCAGGGCACTCCATACTCCAAAAGGCAGTCAGTCTGGACAAGAATAAGGCACCATCAGGCAGCACAGCAGTCAGACCCTGTGTTTACACGGCGAACTTCCCGATTCCCAGGAATTGTCACGGACAAGGTTGGGTCTGTCTGGTGTGGCAGCCCCTTCCTGGTTAACCACGACTCCAGTGTGCTCACTAAAGCAGTCAAGCATGCATGAGAACACAGAATGACTGCAGGCCTTTAAAGTAAAACACACGGGAACTGATCATCAAGCTAGCAGCTAGATTAATATAAAACTATTCCTACTACTATGAGAGCTAATAATAAATGAATGGATTCCAATGAATGCAATTCCAGGTTCAACACTGCAGAGTGGTGAAACGCTATTGGTTTTAAAATTTCTTGTCTAACACGCAATGCTTGCTCAACACATAACATGTGCTTAATCAATCCTCTATGCTGTTTTGAGTTTTCACAACATAAAACCAAATAAAAATACAAAACCAGGACTAAAACAGAAGCGTAACTCGCTGTGCGCCGTCTGCAGCCCCATTCCCAGAAGGCTGTGAACACCTCTCCTGCGTGCTCTGCAACGTGCACAGCCCATCCTGTGCAAACCCACGAGCACGTGCAGGAAGCAGTTTATTGTGACAAATATTGACCCTTCTGTCCTGCGCCTTATGGCGAGAAGAACATCCAATAATTGCGAATTCTGAAAATGCTGTGTCCCAAACTTTGATGGCGTTTCACTGAATCGACAGGCAAAAAATCTTTTTTTTCCCCCAGTAATGTGTGGAAACAAAATGCAACTATGTAGTAACGGTCTAGTTATGTAGTAACTAGTCATTGATTTACTGATTTACAGTGGTCCAATTATTGTAGTCTCTTAGGTTCAGTGGCTACACTTTGGTAACAGAACAAATAAACAGTTGGTACAGGGGGCAATATCGCCTTCATCTCAATCATCTCAAGATGTGTAAAATCCTGTCACGGTTC